TGTAGGCAGAAAGAAAATTTAAGAGAACTACTCCAATTTCACATGTTTAGGGAATAAGAAAAAGAAGAAACCTTGCTTGTACATGCTGACAGAGGTAGAAGTCTATGGCTTCGAGATTTTTTGTTCTTTGAGAGAGAGAGAGAGAGAGATGCTCTTCTCATTGTGTACGCAGAAAGAAAACTTTATGAGAGCTACACCAATTTCACATGTTTAGGGAAGGGGAAAAGGAAGAAACATTGCTTTTTACATGCTGAGAGAGAGAGAGAGAGAGGTTCTCTTTAACAACAGAACCAGTGTTAAATTATATACCTCTCCTCTGTCTCAAGAGAGCATAATAATGAAAATGTTAATAAAGAGTTTCTGGATGAGGCATACTTGTATCTTATGTCCTCAAAGTCGACGCCTTTCAGAATGGTGGGTGAAACCCTCAGTGGAAAGTTTGTGAATTTTTCATTTCAGACATTGAAGGATGCTGCAAAAGCCCACATATCCCATTTCCAACTTTCCAATCTCAAGTTCTTTCCATCTGCAGATTAAAAAGAGAAACAATATGAACTTCAGCATCCAAGGAGACAGACTAAAAAAATTCTGACCATCAAAAGAATTACTGCTCATCTACCTGAAAATGTAAGAGCAGTGATGATCTTTATAGGCACGGATGCAAGAAACAAATTCTTTTAGACCTTTTTCTCCATCACTGCTCTCAGTCCTTTTGTGCCGCCGATCTTATCTGAATAAGTTACAAGTTACAGCCGTAAATCAACCGGTGACCAAGACATCAGAGCAGGAAAATGAGGAAGGGCGTTTCCCCAGTAATCCTTTCTCCCGTACTCTACAACTTCATCGGGATTCAAACCGAACCCATGAACGAGAAAGAAGGAAAAAGAAGGTTTTTCAAAGGACCCATTAACACTGAAAAGCTTTGACGACGCATAGACAATTCTAGCGGAGAAGAGAGCCATGAAAAGGCAAAACTGGACCCGACAAACCCTAATCGCAAGAAAACTTAACATTCCGGAAACGAACGACAGAGATGTAATAAGAAGGGGAAGGCGGGAACCTGGCGAGGTTTGGAAGGGTAGGAGGAGGAGCAGCAGCAGATGATTTCAAGGGGAGGGACGAGGAAAGCTAGGGTTATCCCGGAGTCGGCGGCGCGTCGACGGCGACATCCTTGTTACTGCAGAGCAAGGTGATAGTCGCGGCCTGAAACGGATTGCAGAAGTCGAACAACGATTGTAAGAGAGCCTCCAGGATCTCGCCGGAGATTAGTGAGTACAGGTCGGAAAATGGCGTCTCCGTCAACGCCTTGTTCGTGTTCACCGACGAGTCGCGGCGTTCCGGCCCTGTCGCACTTGGACTGGGCCTTTTCTAAGGAGTACAAAAACGGCGTCGCAATGATTCCGGTCGGATTTTTGTTTGAACTCCGGTTAGGTGATTTAACGGTTTGGCCAAGGTAAAGAAAACCGTACCGGGTTGTTGCTAATCTCATTTTAAAAAAGAGAAAACAATTTTAAAAAAATCTCAACTTCTAAAAAAACTCATTTAAAATCTAAATTATCCATAATCTAAATAAATATTTATCTTTAAATCAATATTTTAAAAAAATTTAGCATTTAAAAATATTAATCATCTACAAATTCAAATAAAATATCAAAATTTTGTAAAAATATCTAAAATTAATATGTTTTTCTTAAATTATCATACATCAATTATATTTTTTTTGGTAAATACATATTATGTTTAAAATATATTTTTTATTTAGATTGGTTGATGATTACGGTTTTAAATTGATATTTTAAAAAATTAAAGGTTTTTAGATATTTTTCTATTGTTTAAATCTATCGATAATTGAAATCTAAAATCTATTAAATATACATGTTTTATAATTTTATTATTTTTGAACAGATATGGATGGATATATTTCTCTGGTTATGTGGATATTAAAATTGAAATAGTTTTCTAAAATAAGAGTGGAAATTAGGCTATTTGGATATTAATTTAAATAGTTTTCTAAAATAAGATTGAAAATTAATCATTGTAAACAACGTGTGCACCATCCTCATGCACGACTATTTTTTTTTTAAGGAAAAAACAGATTGTATAGTTTGAAAAATAATCACTCACATTAATTTGAGCCATTAATCACTACATAATTATTTTTCTAAATTAAAAGTTTTATTCGGATTCGATGAAGACGAAGGCGTAATTTAAAGTCCATAACGAATCCAGCCTCCTTATATGCTTTCCGCATGTTCATTTGGTTACCAACCGACCCAAAAAGGAAAATATACAGAGACGTTAGAAAGAGAGAGAGAGAGAGAGAGAGAGAGAGAGAGAGAGAGAGAGAAAATGAAGTCTCCATCATCGTCGCCATCGTCTTCTTCCTCTCTCCCTAGAAAACGTCGTCTCCCTCACTTCGTCTTCACCGTACTCGCCTTCGTCCTACTCGCTTCCATGATCTACGGCCACGATTTCGTCTCCTTGTCCCGTAAAACCCACCAAAACCCGATCCTCGATGAACTCGGAACCCGTAGTAAGGCGGAAGAGCCACCGCCGAAGTCGCCGGAGATACCTTTTGCGGTTGGGAAGGCGCTGGGCGAATGCGAGTATTTCAAAGGGAGATGGGTCAAGGACGAGTCGACCAGGCCGCTTTACCGGGAATCGGAGTGTCCGTACATACAACCGCAGCTCACGTGCCGGGCACATGGTCGGCCCGACAGCGACTACCAGTCTTGGAGATGGCAGCCTGATTCTTGCTCGCTCCCATCGTTAGTCTCTCTCGTTCTCGATTGTTGTGGTTCTTGGGTTCCGTTCTCGGAACAGGGCTAAGCCCTGATTTGATGACTCTGTGAAGTAGGAATTGGCCTCGAATTTCGTGTGATTGTGATCTCGATGTGTATGTATATGGTTGTGTGGTTGTTGAGTGAGTAGGTTCAACGCGACAATGATGCTGGAGAGCTTGAGAGGAAAGAGGATGATGTTCGTCGGGGACTCTTTGAACCGAGGAATGTACAATTCTCTGATCTGTCTTCTTCATTCGAACATTCCTGAACATGCAAAATCCATGGAAACCCATGGTTCTCTCACTGTCTTCTCCATCAAGGTACATTATCCAAGATGTTTTGTGGGCTTAGTTAATACAGATTACTGTGATGATTAGAAGAATAAGGTTGTATTGATTGTAGATTAGGAACTAGAGTTTGATTTCTGGAGTGTGATAAATCCTTATGATATCCATATGTAGGAATACAATGCCTCAATGGAATTCTACTGGGCGCCATTTCTTCTCGAATCGAATGCAGACAATGCCGCCGTCCACAGAATCTCAGACCGGATTGTGAGAAAGGGTTCGATCAACAAGCATGGTAAACATTGGAGAGGAGCTGATATCGTCGTGTTCAACACCTATCTATGGTGGATGACTGGATTCAAGATGAAGATCTTGTACGTACATAACACCACATCCATAGCATTATAGAGCTTAGTCGGGTTGGATAACCCTTTTTCCCACCCATCAGAAATAGAACCTAACTCAAACCTGAATGTGGATTTCAGTTGTCTGATTTCACATTTTCGTATATGCAGAGCCAAGAGGGGTGGATTGATTGTTCCCAAATCCCAATGTGTTGTTATTTCAGGGAATCAGGTTCATTCGAGGACGAGAACAAGAGAATCCGTGAGATGGAGACTGAGGATGCATATCGGATGGCGATGAAGAGTATAGTCAAATGGGTGAAGAAGAATATGGATCCATCGATGACCAGGGTGTTCTTCACTACCATGTCCCCTACTCATTACAAGTCGTAACCTGTTCTCTGTTTCACTTTTTTGTCTCCCTCATACCGGTAGTTCTGGTTCCATTGAGAACTCTTCAGATCCGGCAATCTGGTTTTAGAGATGCTCCCACGAACAGATTGGCTTATGACATATGATTACAGAATCTAGTCCGGACTCTGGACATGGTTCCTGGGAAAGATGAAAGGCTATTACATGATTTCTGGAAACAGAGAACTTTCATCTTGGCAATTAGGCTTCACAGTTCACTCACCCGCCAAGGATCACAAACCCTAGATATAGCTTCTAGCAACAAGTTAACTTGACGTGCCTAATTTTCTAGGCTCTTTAGCCCGTTTGGATATTGAAGAGGAGATATCAGTTATCCTCAAACCCGATTACAAAAGACGTAATCTTTTTCGTTTCCCTTTAACCAGGAGCGAGGATTGGGGAGGCGGAAGAGGTCAGAACTGCTACAACCAAACAACTCCTATTCAAGATCAGGCTCATTGGCCATCAGATTGCAGCAAAAGTGTAATGAGAGTGATAGGAGAAGTCTTAGGCCGGAGAAAGGATTTCCCGATCACCGTCCTTAACATCACTCAGCTTTCGGGCTACCGAAAAGACGCTCACACGTCGACATACAAGAAGCAGTGGAGCCCTTTAACGAAAGAGCAGCTCGCCAACCCGGTAAGCTATGCAGATTGTATACATTGGTGCTTGCCTGGTCTTCAAGATACTTGGAACGAGCTCCTCTTTGCCAAACTCTTTTACCCTTGATTCTTCCTTTTCACCGTGACTACTGACTAGAATTTTATACTTAGATCCAGATTTTTTAGTCTGTCATTGTAAATGCTGGTTTCTTAGGAATATATGTTACATTGTAACCGGCCAAATTACATTGTAACCGGCCAAAGGAAAAATGACAGCTTCTTACATAGATAAACACCATGATTCTTGGGATTCATTTTACTTTTTGTTCCTTTGTTCTTTGGAATTCTTTTTTAGTTTTTTGTTTTAGGTATTTGGAATTTTACAAAAAAGAAAAAGAATATACAAGTTGTAGGATGTAAGTACATCCGCATCTTTGTTTTACTAATTCGGACAAAAGCACTTTTAGAGTTTTATTATTTAAATAAGGTAGTTTTAGATTTCCAAAGTGATTTATTAGATTAAATTCGGAATTTATTTCTAATCAATTTTAAAAAATGTATATAAAAATAAAGAAATGTTATTAATAGAGATATTATAGACTTTTTATATCTTTTGCTTATTAAAAAATGTGAAAAGCTTTTAAACTTTTGGTATTTAAAAAAATATCTTTTACATTTTTATAATTATCCGTTGTAATCATAAATCATGAACATTTAGGACTTCTATATATTTGTATTTTATATTCACTTTAGTTTGGTTCAATTTGAATTAATTCCAAAATTAGTTTATGAAAAAATATTTATTTCAAAAAATAGTTAGATTATTTTTATTTTTAATTTTAATTTCAAATCATCAACAAATCTTCGGTTTTTTCAATTAGATTTCGATTTCGATTTATTAATGCAATTTCCTATATATATATATATATATATATATATATATATCGTTCAAAGCCTATTATATATACTTATGCCGTTGATTCATAAAGTAACAACTCCACAAGATCACAGATTAGGTTTTATATACATGGAAATGTAAATGTAATAATCTCAAAAGTGAAATACAAACCCTTTACAAAAAAAAAATCACAAAAAAAAGAATTTACACAAATTCTCCCAAAAGTCGCTCTGCATGCATTTCGGTCCAAAATATCTCAAACTACTCACGATTCGTTCCTTGAAACGATCATAGAGAAAAAGGAGAATTTAGATAGATACATACATACATACATATATATACATACATATAGATTCATTAACTTTGCCGATCCGTGGCCGTACTTCTCGCGAGAGACTGCAAGTTGCACCGTACGATGGTGTCGACGAAGCTCAGCGTCTCCTCCGGCGTATTTCCCGGCGGCACATCGACGACGTACGACTCAACGACCACCGTGTCTCCGCCGTCTCCGTCTGCCACGTGGAGGGTGGTGACGGATCGGTAGTTCTTCAGGCGATGGTCCCCACCGACGACGCTGAAGCTGATGATGTGGCGGTCTTCGTCGAGGATCTCGAGCCGCTCGGGGCTTGAGCCCGCCGGAAGACCGGAGACCACGTGTACCTCCCGGAGATCGCCGACGGTGAGTCTGCCATCTCCGGAGACGGAGGAGATGACGTGGCACCGGCTGACGAAGCTCTTGTAGACCTGCGGGTTGTCGAACCGGCGCACGACGGCCCACACGCGCCTGAAGGCGGATGATGGGGCGGTCTTCGTCGAGGATCTCGAGCCGCTCGGTGCTTGAGCCCGCCGGAAGACCGGAGACCACGTGTACCTCCCGGAGATCGCCGACGGTGAGTCTGCCATCTCCGGAGACGGAGGAGATGACGTGGCACCGGCTGACGAAGCTCTTGTAGACCTGCGGGTTGTCGAACCGGCGCACGACGGCCCACACGCGCTCCGGAGGCGCGTGCACCGTCTGCACCACCGCGGAGCAGCACTGGTCGGAGCCCACATCGTGCGTATGGTGCAGAGCCACGTGCTCCGGCACGTGCATTCTGCGCGTGAGGCACACTCGCCGTACGGACGTTTCCGGCGACAGGAAGCCTTCTGCGGCGGCGGAGGACGTTGTCGCGCGCCGGAGCTGCACCGACGACTGCATCTGATATATATCTTTCTGGATTGTGATTGGTGTATATAGATGTGTGTGTATATATATATGAATGATGGGGAGGATTGGGGGAGAAGGAGAGAGTTTGATCTTGTCCGGTGTCGGTTGGCAACTTGATTTTTTTGTCTCTCTAAATATGTCTATATATTTCTATTTATGATATAATACATACAATATGTGATAAAGAATCTAAAGATATGCATATGGTATGGACATGGATGCGAGGTATATGATACATATATATATACACATAGCCATGAATTCTTTTAGAATGTGCATATCATATTTCTTTACTTTTATTGTTGGCAATTTGATATACGAATTAATTTTGGCAAAACTTGTGTCAATTAATTTACCAAAATTAATATTCAATATTGTGTATTTAGAATAATAATGCATCATATATGTCACTAATGTAAATTATCTATATATTTCTAAAAAATTCCCTGAACTAAATTATCTCTCAAAATTTCAAGTAGGGTAAAATCTTAATCGAAGTATTAAATATTAGAAATCATGCAGAGATTAATAAGATAATTGATCAATTAGTATAAGCCCATATATAATCCTAATTGAAGATAATATAATACGCATCGGAATCTAATGATCGAAACATGACTAACATCACCAAACTCTTTTGTAAATTCAAATATGTTCATCTTATTTATCATAAAAAAAAAAAGAGGCAAGACGATTATAGTTGGTTAAAATACATATCATATATATCCGATAATAATATAATAAATAGTATCCAACCTCTATGTTTCGTTATATACGGTTGTTTTTTTTATATATTGTATTTTTTGGTAACGGTTGTTTTTTTATATTCATTAGGCGAGATCAAAACATGTATAATTACGTATAGTTGAATTTGAATTCGAGAATAAAATCAGAGTTTACATAAATTTACACGATATAATTAAGAATGCGATAAAACTAGAATGTATAGCACTACACCAAATAATACGTTCTCTCACCCTCTGGTTGTTTAATATTTGCGTATGTGTGTGTATATATATATATGGGTTCGTAGTTATGGGTGTACATGTGCATGTACACAAACATCTACACACACATATATACATATATACATATATATATATATGTAGAGAGAGAAGCTTTGTTCGAGGAAGCTGCAGGGATGGTGAGACCTTATCAAACGACGCAAGTGGATCTTGCAACTTGCAAACTCCTTTGGACTTAGTTACGTGGAATATTTTTTATCCTTTCCTCTTTTTTTTTTATAATTAAAAATTCTCATTTCCTGTTTCCCATTTATATTATTCGCGACTTCGTTTTTTGATTTAATGTTTATCTATTTTTTATTAATATATATGTGTATAATTGTATTTCAATTGGAATATATAAAATCAGAATAAAAGCAAATCGAACTGAATACTATAATATTAATTTAAATCAATTTAATAGTATAATATTAATTTAAATTAATTGAATCCGACACATATATGAAAATATAAAATAAATGAAATAAAAACCATTTTAGTTTATCCTTTTTTGAAATCGAATATCTATTGAACAAAATACTTGAAATCAAACCAATGACAAGAATATTTTTGTAATGTCAAGGAGTTTTTTTATCTTCTTCTAGAAATTGCATCCAACAAAAAAAAAATTCAAACTAGTATGACTGATTTCTGTAGAAACGACCGTAAATTTTAGTAAGAATTAAATGACTTTGAAAAATTCAAGAAACGAAATTGATAAAGACATATTTCATGCGTGACGACAAATTGTTGACTGATATACATATATATATATATATATATATGAAGTTGAAGGCCATTAAACTACAAACGTGAAACGAACTTTATATGTTACATTTTCACTTTGAGTTCCAATAGGATTTTCTATGCCAAATTCATATATATATATATATATATATATATATATATATATATATATATTCAGATAATGCACTTTTTTGCCGATATGGCATTGATAGGATGTTGGTGTGAGTTTGCCGACTAGTTGATATGACGGTTCTTTTCAATGGTATTGAGATCTATCATGTGAATTTTCGTCGTTGATATTCATCATTATGTTAACCTTCCGATGCTATTTTGATTTTTTTAAATGTTTTTTTTAATATATAAGCATCTCATTATTTATTAATATAAATTATTTTCAAAATCAGCTACAGGCGAGTTCCAAAACTTCATCAACTTGACTCTTTATTAGTTGGAAAGTTGGGATTGGATTGCACTTTCCCCCTTTCACGTTCTTGAGGAGAATTAAAGCTAACTTTATCCTCTCATATTTCTTCCATGGAATCTTAAACCCTAAATTGCAAATGGTAGTCTATAAAACGTTATACACATACTTCTTTATTTATTTATTAAAACATTTCCTTGTTTATAAAAATGTTCATCAATTATTCACTCATATAAATTTTCGCAACAATTAAATTGGTTAATATCTTTAGGAGTAAACAAAGAGGTTCTCCATTTGATCATGATTTCCCCCCCCCCCATATACTTCATTATTATTATTATTATTATTATTATTATTATTATTATTATTATTATTATTATTATTAAACCACTTGCATAAATTTATGGTCACTTGGTATTAGTTTTGGACAGAGAATGAGTCAATGCATTTAACCAAACACAAAACATTGAATTATATTTGTTATGTATTCCCTTTAAAATATTGTGCAAATTAAGCATACGAGCCCTCGATGTTAAAGAAAAGCAAATGGTTTTCCCACAAGTATTCGTGTTCAATGTATGATATATAGATCAAGTCGACTTTCACCTAATATGAAATAGCATTCGTGTTCGAGACCACATTTTTTTTAAAAAAAAAAATCCTTTAAGATAATTGTACATATAAACATGAAACACACATATTTATATTCAGGGTCACGGACGAATATTTCGGATTTTGATTTCGACTATTTTTTTATTAATAAAATTGTCTATTTTATAAGAGAGAAAATAACATATAAATACCTAAACTTTTACAAAAAATTCCATATAAATACTTGAACTATAAAACTTCCATATAAATACATTAACTTTTAAAAATCCTATATAAATATATAGACTTTAAAAAAAATTTCCAAATAAATACAAATTTTAAGTATTATAGGTGATATTATTAACGTATTCTGGATTTATTGGGGAGTTTTTCAAAAATCTAGATATTTATATAGGATTTTAGAAAAGTTCAAGTGTTTATATAGAAATTTTATAGTTCAAGTATTTATATGGAATTTTTGTAAAAATTCAGGTATTTATATACGATTTTTTCTTTATAAATTTTTTACTTTTTTAAAATTTTCAGTTATTTTTTATTTCATTTTCTTTTATTCGTGTTGGATTTGTTTGGTTTTAAAAAATGAATTTTAGACTGAATTCGATTTGACTATATATATATATATATAATTCGATTCAGTAGTTTATATCCATCTCCACTTTGACAATGGCATATTACCATATTTCTTTGATTTAAAATTCTTAATATTAGATCGATATATATATATAGCCTTTTAGCCTTTAGGTGATGTCCAACTACTAATTTGAAGACATTTTATGTGTTAATTTTGGTCATGTTCTCTTCCTAAAAAAAAAAGATGGTTATTGCGCCGCTTGTTACATAAGCTGCCTTCAAAATGTACATTAACATATAAACACTTTGAGTGTGCCCCAAATTTCAATTAAAATTGGGCACATTGGTTGCACCTTCGCAGCACACGGATTCCATTCCACAACTAAAATATTACTTAGCCAAAAATCCTGTAATTATTCGCAAGAAACAACTCCACGCGCACACTGCATTGTTTATACGTACACACATATATAATTTATCATTTTTCTGTCAACATTTAATTATTTTCAAATGATTTTTTTAATCTTTATGACTTTTAAGACAAGGGATTCCACAACCTACTTTTATTTCAAATACTAAGCCCATCAACGGCCCATTAATTTCATAAGAGCCCAATAAGCCCATTACTATCACAAAGGAAACAACAAAGGGTCCGATTCTTTTTTGTATGTACAAAAAAAAAAAAAAAAAGCAAGAGGCATCTGCACAGGGAGATGTAGTTTCTCTATCCTCAAAAAACTCAATAGAGAATCGAAGAGTTGCATGTAAAGAACAAATGAAATCTTTTGTGTCTTCTTTGTCCATTGGTCAAATCTTCCTACGTTGTCTTACAAAGATCAGTCACCGGTTCTGTAACAACATCCCAGCTCTCAAGTTCCAGCCTACTCACAAGCTAGAGAGAATCCACCCATGGCGGTCTTCAGGCATCAAGATTTGACGGAGTCACCAGCTTCATCCGTCTGATACAGCCTAACAGTTCCAGCTCTCAAGATCAAGGAAACTAAAGTCGAACAGATCTTGCCCATCTTGCTGATCGAGCTCGAGCAATGGCAGCCCGTAGTCAAGGCTCGCGTTTTGCGATTTCGCGACCCCGGTGGACAGAGCTGATTCGTTTGGACCGGCCATGTCGATCCTCGTGTCCCGTTCTTGGCTTGGCCCTGGCGGAATGTTCTCGTTTATGTCGCCAAGAAGCTCATCCACATCAAACATCTCCTCGGCCGATAAACCGCTCCAGCAGTTCTGATCAGCGCCCGTCTTGTTGTCCGGCCAGCCATAATCCGCGACAGTTAGTGACTCTGATTGCTCGAGAGGGTTCTCTGTCAACTGCTCTTCTTCCTTCACTTTCTCCTTGAGAAAACTCTTCCAGTACTCCTCTTCAAACTCAATCAGCCAATCATAACTCAACGCATCTTTCTTCACGTTCTCCTTCTTCATCTCTTCCAAATTTGAAGTTTTATCCTTACTAGAAGGCTCGGATTCCCCCTCCCCATCTCTCTGTTTCACAGGAACAACCTTAACATCCTCCACTGTGCATACCTCGGACTGACTCGACGAGCAAGTAATGTCGGACCCACATGGAGTGCCAACCGAAGGACAAACCGACGGGAAATTAAGACGAGCTAACGGCCCGTACATAGTCTTAGCAGCCTCGTCGTAAGCAGCAGCAGCCTCGTACGCTGTCGGGAAAGTGCCAAGCCACAATCTACTGCCTCTATTTGGCTCTCTAATCTCTGCAACCCATTTCCCCCAAGTTCTTTGCCTAACCCCTCTGAAATTACAGCGAGCATTCTCGGGTCCTCCCTTTCCTTTCATACAACCTTTCTTCGACCCTTTTGCCGGCACTTTACGTTTCGGCCTCTCGCCTTCTCCAGTGGCCTCTACGTTCTCGTTATATTCTTTCCACTTCTTCAATTTCTCCTCCACTGTCGTGCCATCGCTTCTACTCCTAGATTTTCTCTTCCTCGAAGTTCCGATTTGAGATTTAACCACACTTCCACTTTGATCATGAACTGCCATCTTCGTTGGAGTTCTCTCCAAATCAACCAATCTACAACACAAGACAAGACAAGACAATTTTCTGATAAGAACAAGCGTTCAATCGCTCGCGAACATGGAGAGATAAAGCGAGTTTTGGGTTTAATTGATTACTGAAGAACAAAAAGGACACAAGTACATCAGTTGCAACAACTTATGTACGAAAAGAATTCCTTGGGCACCAAGGATTCTTTCCTTGCTCACGAAATTTCCTTTTCCCCGAAAACCCAAAAAATTCAGATAAAAACCACCAATTTATGGCCAAAACTTGGGGACCAAGGAAAAAAATGAAATTAATTAAGCACCCACAAAAAAAAACACGGAAAAAAGCTAGAAATCTCCCGAAAACGCCGAGACCAAAAAATCGAAGCTTCGAGAACCAAACCGAAGATCTCAACTTTCAGAAAGAACAATCAACATCCACAACAGAAACTCATTGAGAGTAACAAGCGAGGAAACTCGGTTAGACCCAGAAAAGATCTGTTAAAGAAAACTAAGCATTTACCTGTCGGAATCTCAATTTGAGAACTCGTCGAAACCCTAGAAATCGTCTTTCCTCGTCGATCAGAATTCTTCACACCAAATCACTCTTGTGTAGACAAAGATCGATTTCCTTCAACAGCTGTAGTATTCTTCGCGATTTACGGTGTTGCGCGTCTTTGCTTCGTAGCTTTCGCGTTTTGTTTTCCTTCCTCAGACAGCTTTTGCATAAAAAAAATATCTGCAGTTTCCAGTGGGTCGCTGGTTATTTATAGGGTTCTCTCGATATTTCTAATAAATATTTTTTCTCTTTTGCCAAACAATATTTTATTCGGATATTTAGGCTCAAAACATCTAAGAAACTGACACGTGTTCGAACCTTCCCGAAACACACCCCAACTTGATCCCTCAATGCAATCTTATACAATGTTTGGCCTGTCCAAGTGTTATTTAGCCCCTACTATTTCTAGTTATTTCGGTTTTGCCATTCTGATATTTCTTTCCTAAATTGACACTTATTTCCATCTCTTTTTTTTTTTTGCCATTGCTGCTTAGTCTGACTGTCATGTGATTTTTTTTCTCTCCATATTTAGTTATAAATAATAATTTGATAATTTGTATATATATATATATAATCAAACAAAAGACGAATATTACGTAATAATATTTTAATTAAATTCAATAAAAAAACATAAGAATTAAAATAAATTAAGTAGATTGGAATAAAATATAAAAATAAATGAAAAACCGGAACTTTTTACAAATTAAAAACAACTTTTATAAAATTAACTACTACATTTTGAAAAAATTTAAATGAGAAACTAAAACATCACATATCAATAAACAAAAAAAAGGTATTTACCATTTTCTTAATATGCAAGTTTCCACATTATCCAAATATAACATAAATAAGTGATTTAAAATAATTAATTCAAAGTACACGTGTCGCAATCCGGCAGGTCAAACTTGGCTCGTAAGTGTGGCGTACAGCGTATCCTGGTTGACGCTTTGCATGTTGAACACGTGTCCTTTTTATTGCTTGACACGTCATCAATTACGTGTTGATTCCCAAGTTGGCAGAATAAAGGGATGCGTCACGGGTGATGATAATTTTTACGCAGCTGCTTGCGTACTCAGGCCCATGGGCTTTTAAGGCTCATATACATAATGCATAAAGGCTCCCTTATATGGGCCCTCATTTTAAGGCCCATTTACGTAAGTAAGCATAACTCAAATTACTTTCTTTAAAGATCCAACAAGATCGTTACAGGGGGAAAAAAGGAAAGAAAAAAGAACAATCTGTGTCGGATCTTGAATTCCAATCAACGGTAACAATAATTTCTTGGAGCTTATGATGGTGATGGTGATGGTGACGGTACTAACAAACGGGCAAATCTTCAGGAGGAGCTTCAAGAGTCTGCAATTCTCCGGAACCATTATCGACCAAGAACGCCATTGCAAGACCCCAACTGATATGCACATCCAAGTGACAGTGCATCAACCAAACCCCTGTTCCAAGAAAAACAAAACCCATTAAAATTTTCAGAGCTCGAACTCTGAATTCAGTTTGAGGTTGTCTGAAAATGGTTTCTTCTCGAATTACGTTACCTGGATTATCAGCGACGAATCTGATAACGGCCCATCCGTTAACGGGAACGGCCACGGTGTTTCTGAGAGGAGGGTCAACGAGATTGAACTTGGAAGTATCTTTCTTTGGATCAAAGTTACCGAACCCTTCAGCCACGATGTAGAAATCGTAGCCATGGAGATGAATCGGATGGTTCTCTGGTGTTACAATGCTTGTGTCCTGAAGAACAATCTGAACTCTCGATCCGTACTTGAGTTTGTACAGTTTGGTCCCACGAACTGGCTGAAACAGCGACCTGCTCACGTTATTTCCGGTGAAATCGAATCTCACCGGAGGTTTTGCCGGAAAATCCGTCGTGAAAACTCCGGGAATGCCCTTTGAATGTGCCTGCAGGAGCGAGAAGTTAGACGGGAGGACAAACGACACGTTGTTCATGCTGGCAGTGAACCGCGTGCCGTTTGGGCCCTGGCACCGGCTTTTCGGGAAGCTTTTCGGGCAGTTGTCGAGGCCTAAACCGATGGTGAAGAAGAGGCTTTCGTCGATCTCTTTCGGGACCACGATGTCGCGTAGTGACCTGAACTTCCCGGAGAATGACGTGACGGAGTTCGTGTCGTTGAAAGCAGGCAAAAACGGCATGATGGGCGGTGTTTTTTTTATACCTTTCGCTGTCCCATTCGAACAACAAGGAGATGACTTGTATTGGAGAATAGCCGTGGTGGTGGTGTTATCAAACGGTGCGTTTTGAGCGCTTTGGTAAGCCCTGGCCGCCATGTAATAACGGTTAGGAGGCTGGTCGGCGGTTAAGAGGACGTCGGTTGTCTGACCAGGACCGAGCATTATGACATTTGTGCTGAACGGTTTGAGGTAAGATGCGTCGGCTCCAACCACCGTGAGCTTATGGTTAGCCACCGTGAAGAAAAGCGGCTGGTTCATGGCCGAGTTGATGACCCTTATGAGTGATGTTTCTCCTGAACCGGTTGGAACCACAATCGTATCTGCAACCAAAAAACGACGGTTTAGATTAAACCAATTGATAATTACAATTCGTGGTTATACACAATATCAAAATATGGATTCACATAGATTACGAACCTTGGTTAGAGCAATTGTAAAGATCACCGGGTTGGCCATTAACGGTATAAGCATCGGACACATTGGGAGCAGCTCCGGTTCGGATCGCTTCTTTCAGAACATCAATCGGGTTTGCATTCCACCACTCGCCTACATTAAACCGGAAATCAAACACAAATCAATACCAATCTGGGAGAAGTTCTAACGTCGAACGATGCGAGTTTCACGAAAACCGGTTGAAACCGTACCGAGGAGGAGGGTGGTTTGGCGATCCGGTTTAGGGAAAGGATAGGAAGAGGCAGGAGGTGGGTGGATGAGGAGGGCACCGTAGACGGTGGCTCGGAGCCAGGAGCTATGGGCGTGCCACCACAAAGTGCCCTCTTGGCCTTGGATGGTGAAACGGTAGGTGTAGCTGTTACCGGGCCGTATTGGGCATTGGGTCACGAACTCCGGCCCATCGGCCCATCCCGTTCGCATCTGCCTCACCCCGTGCCTATCAATTTCAATTATTAAAAATAAAAATCGATTATATAAAACTGTGTAATAATATAATTTTATAAAAAAATAAAGAAGTAATCCTAATTTATATAAAGTAATTTTTTAATAAATAATAATAGCAGAATAAAATAGAATAGTACCAATGGATGGTGACATTGTGTTGGGCTCGGTTGACCACTTTGACCACAAGTGTGTCGCCATTGTTAACTTCGAGGGTTGGACCCGGAAACATTCCATTGACGGTGATCACGTTTTGGGTTTTGCACAGCCTCTTCACTGGCGTCTCTTGGATCTGCATTTATATATATAACATATATGCGTCACATATACATACATATATATATGCATACACTCACAATGTATGTAACTAGTAGTTATACATAAAATAAAGATGAAAGCATATATATCCATGCATGAAGAAGAAGACGTACGACAAAATCATGGTGGTGAACTTCGGAGAGAACCAATGAAGCGGAGAGAAGAGAACATAACAAGAACAAGGATGAAGGAAACGAGCTGGTAGCCATTGGTGATTACGATAATTGAGGAACTAATGAAAGGGTTTGAGAAGAAGAAGATGATGATTGTGGTGGTGAAGGGGATAACCCTTTATATATATAGGGAGATTAATGTGTGTGTTTTTTTTTTAAATTTTGTTGCGTTATGATAATTAAAATTTTAATTAATTAAAGTAAAATTATAGTTCACCAACAAGTGTGTGTGTGTGTGTATGTAGAATGAGATGACTAGACGTACACACACACACACACACACCCATATATATATATATATATATATATATATAGGTATGATTGGTCAAAGGCTCAAAAGGAACATCTGAACAAATTTGGATGAAGCCGAGGGTGAAGATGGAACACGAGAAAGCCACGTGACCGGTCTTTCTTTGGTTTAAGCTCTTCGATATTATTTTAACATTTAAAAAAGCCCATTCTCACTTGTTTCCTCCATGGCCTTTTCCCTCAATTCATTGAATTCAGTCACCTCCCTCTGGGGCCCATGGGCTTATCATTTGTGGACCCAGTTTAGATTCTGGCCCCACACGTGATGATCTGTGTTTGTTTATATATCAAAATAAAATAAAATAAAAACATAATTTTAGATAAAATTACACAAGAAAATCAAACTTAAAATTGAACAAAGGTAATATGTCGGTATCATTTACACAGAAAATTTTCAGATTTCAAACCCCACCGGTGGTCAACATCTGGTCTAATAGGGAACTCAAATTAATTAGGCATATAACCATTTTATGGAAAGCCATAAATCGCTACCACCAAAACATTATATATATTTTTAAAACTAGTTCCCCGTTTGATTATATAGTAAACTGATACAATTAATTTTTTGATTTAGAGAGAGTCATATCCAATTAGTTTTTAAAACAACAAATTATTTATTCGACCTAATTCATTTCAATTTGATATATTCAATCCAAAAAAATAGTAAACCTAGTCTCAAGTATGGACAAAAGAATAGCACCACAATGCATAAAACAGAATTGCGGGACTCATATATATATATAAAGTCGGTCATATTACTCTTGGTCCACATTTTGATTCTGAGATAATTTTGAATTGTTATAATGCAAAAATGGTATTATTTGATCTTAGGGTAAAAAAAAAACAAAATAATAAGTAAAAAAATCTGATAATTGCATCTGAATAAAATTGGATCCAATGCGAAGAAAATAGTTTACGATATATATTTCATATTATTCTAAATGAATCAATAGTAAGTAGCGATTCTAGAATCGGTTCAAGACATAAATGATATATGAGTGATTAGAAATGTAAATTATTTTAGAATAAGAAATGACGATATATTATTTTAATTTTAATCGTATAGTTTTTTTTTTATTTACATTCAAAGAAAAAGAAAAAGGGACAATGGGAAAAGGGGCAAAACTTAGTTCAACCCTAATGGAGTTGTTGCACCCAACAATTATCATGTTTCAACAAAATTTTAGTTGGATTAAAGTCATTAATTTTTTTTTCTCAAGTCCATGCATATTTCAAAAACGTTATGCCTTTCAAAACATTACATAATCATCATTTGTTAATTAATCAATTGATAGAATCATGCATGCGTGTGTGTGTGAGAGAGATATATAATAATTAATTAATTAATCAGTATATTTAATAATACGTTAGTTACAAACATAAGTCATAGGAATATCTAAGTATATATGAGTTCGTACATTAATTAGATATTACTCCAATTTATATATTGACCGACCGCCTTGAATCCAATTCATAGCATAACTATATCAAATATATTACATGTATGCAATATAGATAGGTAAGAGAATATTACTTACCATTGATATTGTTATTTTTGTTAATCATCCAATGGATTTTAATTTTGTTTGCTAGAATTGGTAATAAGAAAATAATAAATCATCAGTATATATGATAATATAAACTTAATTTAAACATAAATTTTCCGTATAGTTGTGCATAAAACTATATAAATATTGGCTTATAAAAATGATTTAACTGATAAAAATATGTATATATAAAGTGAAAACCAACTCATCCAATTGTTTCAGAATAGGAACGAGAATATTATATCGATGTTTAGATCGATTGATCTTAATATTTTTATTTGAAAATAATCACATTAACTAATTTAATATCTCTTAATATTAAAAGATTTCTTAGAATCAAAGTTTAGATTTTATGGAAAAAGTGTGATTAATTAACTTTTGTTTTTAAGTTTTTATAACCTATAAAACACTACAAATTTCCAAAAAAAAAGGGTAGAGGACAAAACTATTTGCATTATTTGTTGACTTTAACAAAAAAAATTCGACAAATACAGTCCAACCTCCAAATTGAAATTATTAATAATAATAAAGTAGCTTTATGCATTCCAAACCTTCCATTTTACGTTTTTAATATTATTTCCCCTAACCATTGTTTTGTTACAAATATCTACCACGTCATCCATACGGTTAGCTTGAAAATAATTTAAAATCATAGTCTTTTAATTAATTTGAATATTACTTTTTATTTTTAAGTTTCCTACATTTAAACAAAACGTTATTTGAACCAAATCTAAAATAAACGTAATCTTATATTAATTTTTTTATGTGAGATGTGACTGAATTTAATTTTATTTGATAAATCAATCCAAAATAAAATAAAACGAATTGAACGCGATAAAATTCGAAACAAACCAAATCAAACCCAATTAACAAATTTATAGAGAACACGTAAAATGTTATGTCAATATCTAATCTGCTTGACTTTAATATTTGTGAATATATTTTATGTGGCTCGTCAAAATCGTGACGTGACCTTCTAGAGCTGTGACACTCTGTTCGATAAGAAGTCGTTCCCTAATGGTTAATTTTAAAATTAGAAGTCAATCTGCTTGACTTTAATCAATATTAGGTGATAAATTAATAACCCCGTGGCCATGGTAAAAAAAGATGATTTATTACAAAAAGTTATTAAAGAGGAAATTAATATAACAACAGAAAACATTGAGTTGAATACCAACTCTAATTTAGCTCTCTAATTTTATTTAGTTTTAGATAATTCATGTGGAAAGGAATTACCAACAAATTACATGATTTTAAATTACGCATGATTAGTTTGTAAATCATTTTAAATAACAAAGAAAAAAATAATATAACTACAAATAAACTCGAAAACCGCGGATATAAAATTCGAGGTGGAGAATTCGAATTATTTCGATATTTGTGTTTTATTATAAGATTTTTTTTTTTGTCACGAATCATTTTGAATTTAGTGACTTGAAAAGATGTTAGATCTTGGATTCAATTCTCACTAAATGTAAATCCAAAACCCCTTATAACGAATAGATGATCTAACCATTTTTTTTTACCAATTTGACCGTAAAAACTTTTAACTAAAAAACAAAACGAATAAATTTCTTAAAAGACAAATACGCATATGAATTATTATATGTAAATACGGATTCTTTGGCCCAAGGAATTGAAGATTGGACCGTTTAGTTAGTTAGAGCATCAAGTAGTTATGTAAATGAAGCGAAACTCGAAGACAAAAAAATGTTGCGTAATGTCAAAAGTCCAATGAAGCGTTTGGTGGATTCTCATGAATACCAAAAATCAATCATCATTAAGGGTACTTAAAAAACGCACTACTAAAGAAGATTTTGTCAAATTAATTACCTCATCTATGACGTCTTTGAATAGATAGAAAGATTAAGATGGAATTTATATATATATTATTTTGATTCAAATTCAAACGGTGAAACTTATATTTTTTTGGTAATTGTGTGTTTTGAGCGGAAACTCAAACTAATTTGGGACAAAAAAAAAACCATGTGATTGAAATTACGTTTCCCTTTTCAATTTGAGTCTCGAATTCGGGGCGAGACAAACGATTTGTATCCCTGTTTAACCTTTAACCAGTGGTGGGCTGTGAAACTTATATTGTCTTAGTACCAATAAGAAAAGTTTCAATTCAACCCTACAAATTTAAAAAAAAAAAAAAAAGAATCCGTTTTTTCTTGAGTAATCCGAATCCAATTCGATTCAACCGTTAACGGGATTTCGATTGTAGATGTCACTTCAAGTGAGGGTATGTGTAACATTTATCAAAGTTGGTCGAGCAAATTAAAATGATTTGAAATCGGATGAAGAAGAAATGGAAAGAGGTCCCACAAGTTGGTAAGAGTTCGTTACGGACATTAACGAGAGAGAAAAAACACTAAAGGGGAAATGCAACTACGAAACAAAAACCCCCACCAAGAAGAAAACAGAAGCAAAACAAGTGTGAATTCATGCCACAGAGAAAAAAAGAAAGACAACTGACTTCTGGCATCTGCAACTCAACTTCTTCCTGTGTTGTAACCGTACCAAACAAGGATGAGGTGAGACGCACGAGATGTCCGTCTGAGACAAGATCGAGACATTGGAGACGAAGCGAAACAATGTATCGAGGTGAGGAGAACCCTAGACATTGGACCCGTACACATCAATTTTTGGATACCCGATTTACAGATTGATTGAAAACACTCGGGGGTTTTCCCGGAGAAATACAAAAGAAAAAAGTATCGTGATTTGTAAACACAATGTCATGCCATTAGTCAAATATTTGCTAATGCCATTATCCAAATTTGTGAGACCCTCTTGGCAACAGAATCGAAAGGTGTCCATTTTTAACTTCTGGGTCACCATCCTCATCTCGAGATTATGTTCAATGTCAGAATCTCAATCCAACATGCAAAAGAGAAAAAAAGATTGAAACGAACAGAGAAAGAAATGTTTTCTTGTAGAATAAAAGAATCTTTGATTCTTCTGACTTTGCAACGGACAAGAGCAAATCTATATTCATCCCAATTCAAATTGACCCGAACACAAACAATTTCCAGAGTAAAAGAATGATCACTGCAAATTGAATTTCCTACCAAAAACTTGAGGGGAGAAAACCCATTTCCTCTCTTTGGTCATAGACCCGTCGAGGATAGTCGCCGAATGTGTTACCCCCCTCAAACACGAGCGGCGATCGGCGCCGCTGAGGAACGACAGGAATCCGGCAGCCGCGGGCTCTGTCTCGTCCAGGAACAGATCCTCCGGAACCCTAAACGCGCCGTGTAAGCATACGATCCCGACGCCGACCAACAAAGCCGATGTCAAGAGAGATCCGACGCTGGTCAGGAACACGACAACGACCGTCAGAATCACCAAAACACCGAGCGTCTCGCGGTCGGAAAACGTACGGCCGAGGATGACCAGGGGCTGATCCGACGGTCGGAAGAGGTAGAGGAACATCCACGCGCCGAGGAGGCCGACGAGAACGAGGAGGGACCAAGGGTGAGAGAGGAGGGAGAGAGCGAGGACAATGGACACGATCGTGACGTAGTTGACCTTGAAGTAGGGCAGATTCTTCCGGATCCGAGAATACGCGTCGGAGAGAGACTCCGGTCTGGAAATCGAGCTACGGTCGACGAGCTCCAACCACGGCCGTCGCTGGGAGAAGCCATAGCGGATCGACGAAGAGAGGCGGGAGAAGAACGCACGGAAGGCGGAGGCGGAGACCGGAGGCTGGAGATCGGCCGAAGGATGGTTTGAGACCGGGATCGTTGGCGGATTAGCCATCGGAGACGGCGGTGCGTGAGGGACGACGTCGTAGACGCGTAGGGGAGTTGCGGACCTTCTAAAGTAAACCGTATACGCGTGGGCACGTTGTTAATGGTAATGGATGCAACAATTAGGTGGAAAAAAAAAACGCGTTTCTATCGTGCCTTCTGGACCGTACACGTGGCAGAAAGCAATCGATGTATTCAATCTCAACGGATGATTATTATGAAGGAATTTCCACCGTAGATCTATTTGAAAAGAGCTTGACCGTCGACGAAGTATGCAATAATAACCGTTGATCAGTTAAACACAGATTTTCAAATTTCAACCATCCATTTTTAAGGATGGAATTTCGTCTTTTTGATGTTTTTTGAATCTTTTATACCATCGCAATAGCCTATTACTAGATGTGATCTCGACCGTTCATCGTTCAGATGGAATCTGGACCATCGTTTATTAAGATGTGATAACGCCCGTCCATCTTTAACAAGCAATATCAACCGTCGATCATTCAAATATGATCTGAACCATCGATTAGTAGATGCGATCGCATTTTTTCATTTTCTGTTCTTTTGGTTTTTCTAGGATTGGTTTAAAAAAAAAGTTAGAAGAGAAGGGCAGAGAAGAAAGATCTCCTACCAAAGCCCTTTTGGTCCATCAGCTGCCAACCATAACCCTCCATGTAACACTCAACCTGTCCACACATATCCAAAAAATTTCTTCAGATTATAGCATATAATTCTTGAAACGATGTTTAAAACCGAATTTTCGCAGTATTCGGACCAAATATAAGGCGGTCGGATCATTAGTACCGAGTCTAGAAGATTGCCATTGTCATCTATTCCTCCAAGCACATAAATTGCATCCCCAATCACTACTGAACCAAAATATCCCCTCCCTTGGTTCATTGACTCTTCTGATATCCAACGAGGAGCTCGCGGGTCGAACACCTCAACTGTCGGTACCATTTTATCTCCATTGTGGCCACCGATCCCATATCTATACTCAACAGATTCATTTTGTCATGCCCTGAGGTTAAATATCACCAGTAATTGTCGAAAAGTTTACTGAATGCATGGATGCTTGATGGTAAATTCAACTTCGAACGTGATACGTTGAATTTCTTCTCGAGTTTTCGTTGATACTATGAGCAAGTGAATAAGTGTCGGGCCAAACTTACAGCTTTTCATGGAGGGCAACAAGAGAGTGCCATCCTCGCTTTGTGCTCATACACTCGAGCATCGTCCAAGAAGCTTCCCGAGGATCATATCTTTCCACAGACCTGAATTGGTACAATATGCAAGCAGAGGGATCAGTTTTTGAGGTCATTTTCACCAAAGTCGTCAAATGATTATAAGATTTATAGGGATTAGTCTTACTTCAGGTAGTCAGTTCCATCGTACCCTCCAACGACATAGAGTGCTCCATTGATTTCCGTCGCAGCTGGAGCAAATCTCTGAAAAAATAGAAACAGATCCAGTGAATTGATCTTTTGAAGTGATTCTCTTAAGGAACTTCAAGTGTCCAACACAAAAACCAACTTGAGCGCTTTTTCTAAAAAGCAACCCTTTCCCCCTCATCCTGTCTTGGGAATGAAGGTAAGAGTACAGAACCCTTTTGCATGCAGAAGTGCTCAAATTACAGGAAAGTCAGCAGTTTAGTTAACTAATGTTCGTCTTTGACAGGGTATCACGTTTAAAAACATGTCTGAAGGAGCTAAAGACGATATCACCTTTTCTATCATCGGTTGAGTATTGATCCATTTTGCAATTTGTAGATCAAGCATTTCAACATTTTCAAATGGTTGAGATCCATCTCCACCTCCAAGGGCAAAAATCTTGTCATTCAGAGAAACAGCCGCCAAGTTTCCTTTCCTTTGATTTAAGGATGGTCGCCAAACCCATTCGTTCTTCTCGTGGTTGAATGATTCAACTGCAAACAAGAAAATTTGCAGTCATTTTATTACAATGTCCATCATATTTCATAGATAAAGGACACCAGTTTTCATACACACTAGGGTTGAAGAAGGGCAATATTGTACCAGTGGCGACAGAGAAATATTCATGGATGCCACCTATCATGTATACCTCACCATTCAGCATTGCAACAGCGGCGTATGAGCGGCAGGAAGTCATGGGACAAAATGACTTCAATTTGTCCTTGGACAGAGAATAACAATCTAAAGTCGATAACCATGATGAGCCATCAGATCCTCCAATTACTAGTATCGTCTCCTCAGAATCTGGGAAGCATTCATTTAAGGATTGGAACTCCTCCGCCTCAGAACTTGTACTTTGGCCTTTTAGTCGGCATATTTCTTTTCTTGATTCAATCTGCAAGAGCACTTTCCCTTTATGTTTTGAACAAAAACTAGTATAAATCAATTAAAACAAAATGCGGCAAGATAATTCATACAGTGGACTACAACGACGATCTTATGATGAGAATCGGCATATGTTCCCGATGGGAGTTTTTAACTCACAGTGGAGACAAGAGAAAGGTATCACAGAGATAAGTGTAAGAGTTTACCAATTCCTTTTCCAGAGAATTCATCCTATCAGTTTGTTGTCTTTGAGAAAGCTTCAAGTCTTTCACCTCCATCAGTAACTACCACAAATTGCCGCAATGATCATTATGACAGATGAAAAAGGGTTCAAAATCCCAGAGAGGCAAAGTTCTCGAAAGAGGAAAGGCTTAAAATACCTCAGCCACTAGAGCCTTACAGGCAGCGGTTCCCATTTCAGCACCTTGCTGACAGAGATCCATAAATTTTTCTTTGCCCTCTCCAATGTTATCAACTACATCTCCTGCAATGGCGGAAATATGAGAGGAGCTACAAGTTGATTTCTTTAGATCAAATTCCTCAAAATCCAAAGGATGACTCTCATAATCCCAGTTAGACAGCAGACACCAGGAACTCTGTTCCATATTCCAGTTCTGAGAAAGAGGTACTTCCCCATAGCCATTGCAAAAATCATTTTCTACAGAATCTTCTAGAATCCTGTTCAGTCCATCAAGATGGAGCTGAAAGGACGAAGCATCCCAATCTATGTTATCAACACCCGAATGTGCACAATTAGAAGGATCTTCCTTAGTTTCATGAGAACTAATTTGGTGTCTGATCACAGTTCTATTAGCCGTGGCAGAGACTCCTTCATATGTTTCCCGGCTCTGAATTGAAGATGGATTCGTGTTTCTCACAACGGATGAGTAAGATGGACGGAAATGTGACACCAAAGAATGAGCTTTCTGCATGCCTCCGTCATTCATGGCTATTTCCAATCCTTTACTTTTTTTAGATGCAACAGGATTGAAACAACTGGATGCTCCTCCATTTATGGCATCCTTTGAGCCTGTAACAGCTTCTGGAGCAAATTGCTCGCTGTTTTCTTTCAAATCAGGTGACGATTTGAAAAGGCTGCTCCATTTAGCAACACGGTTTACTCCATTTATGGCATCCTTTGAGCCTGTAACAGCTTCTGGAGCAAATTGCTCGCTGTTTTCTTTCAAATCAGGAGATGATTTGAAAAGGCTGCTCCATTTAGCAACACAGTTTACTCCAGATACGCTGAGCACTGCTGATGATGATGGTGGAAGAGCACTTACGGATGGTGATGGTGCCTTTAAATATGTTGATGGTGCCCTTTTGGATGGCAATGGTGAAAACAAACGGATCAATTTGTATGTCTGAGATTGGTCCAGTTCAAACCAAAACAGCTTCTCAGCAAAATAATTTTCTGCGATTATTTTGCTGAACTTCTCTTCAAGCAATGGCTCACAAAGCAATCGGACTCGTACCTTTACCTGTAACAAATTTGCCCCGCTAATTATACGTCAGTTGAGAGGGTAAACGTAAAACAATTAACCAAAAGGTGGTCGACAGAATTACAGTACATATTTATCTTGGTGCAGGAAGTAGTCATATTCATACCTGAGCAGCATACGGGGTTGTATCGATCCCATCTGAAGTCCAAGCATGGGGATCAATGCTCAGTTTCCCATGGCTTGCGGCCTCAAAGATTCCGTGAAGTTTCCTATCGCTATAGTTGAACAGGAACAGAGTCAAACCGGGGTCTATGTTCTTCACATAGGAGATGTGAGGGGCAGGTAAACCTGGACACAGATAAACAACAATTAAATTCAAAAACTTTTTCAAAATCATTCTGCTCTATTCAAGGCTCAAAGAGTAGTAAGACAGAGACAACTAACCAAACAACTGTTTGGCGTAACACTCTTTGACGGTGCTGAACTTGCATCCAAATATAACTCCACCAAGTTCGCCTTTACTGAGATTTCTCCCATTCGTTTTGATGCTCCCTGACCCTGACCAGTATGTGAGACTCTCACTCACGGTATAGGTCTCGGTCTTCCTCCCCGCACCCATTCGTTTAACCAGAAAAGTCCTGAACTTTAACATCATGGAAACGCTCATCACGAAAAGCCCGAGAAGGACTACGGTCGGAAAACCTCACCATGAAAATTTTCGAGATTATGAACTCGGAATACGAACTGTTTCCGTAGAATTCCAATATCAGTTCTTGGGCATTGATTGATGTTTAAACTTTGTGAATTGAATCAAAGGAGCTCAGGAGCTTGCGAAATGGGCAACCAAGAAACCCTAGCAAGACTTATATCGACACTTCTTTTTTCCCAAACAAGACCATGCAAAAAAAAATTCGAAAATCTTTGAGGAGTCGAACAGAAAATCTACTGAGTAGGAAAAATAAAATAAAAATCGCGTGAACCTGAGGCGTGATCCGCTCAAAATCACCACGCAAATGAGGATCAGTCTCACTTACACAACAAAATGAGCTTTCACAGCGCAGACAAAACTTGATATGTAGAAGAAGAAAAGAGCATTCATGGCGCAGCCTTCATCTAGCACATTACATCAAGAGGGAAAAAACGTATACCTCTCTAGAGAGTGAAAAATCAAAGAAACGAGAAATCTCATGGAAGCATCGCAGACATTACACAGTAGCTAAAGAAAATTTTCCAGGCCAAAAGAAAAAAAAATGAGAATGATGGAAAAACCTGCTGCAAAAAAAAACTATTATCATCGCAGTCGGCGACAGGAAATTACCGTATATGGAAACCGCAAGTCTCGCAGGGTCCAAAAATGCAGAGACAGAGAGAGAGAGAGAGTGGAAAACCAGAGTCTCCGACGACCTAAACTTGTGCGATCACACTCCCGGAGCAGGAGATGAGCGTTTGTTTCTCGAGAAAATTCCAGAGGGAAAATGACGCGAAGAGAATTTACACCATGAAGAAAGCGCTTCTACAAATGCCAACGAGAGAGAGAGAGAGAGGAGGAAGAGACGGAGAGATTTTCCCAGAGTAGAAAGGCTGAAGCGCGAAAGAGCCTTGCTCAGGAAAGTTTCTCAGTACGAAAGATCAAATTACGATTTTGCCCACATATCTTTTCGGGCTTTTCACGGCCCATTGAATCGAAAAGACGTGAGGGTATTTCAGTAATTTTGCTATATCAGGCCGAGAATGTACGGCGCGCTTTGATTGGTGCAATTTCACAGTTTTTGCCATTTGCTGCCGTTGTCCTATGGTACGACCCTTGTGCGCGTTAATTTTACATTCTATTTTTATGCCGCATTTTATTTGTCTCAGAAATGAAACATACTATTGTTTGTTACCATGAAGGGTGTATGTGTTTTAATTGTTTTTTTTTTATTTTGCAAAAATTACATGTTGCTTTTTTCATCCTAGTTTCATTTATATTTGGCGATTTTTACTAAAAAAAGTTGTTATTATTTTAAATATTCTTATTCATTTTTTCTCGGTTGATTTACATTTCTTACGAATTTCATGTATTTGCTTTTTTGGAAATCATATCCGAATATTTGTTTTAAATCAATTTCAGTTAAACTACCATTATATATCCAAATATTTTTAAAATCTATTTCGTTTAGTTTTAAATATCCGAAGTGAAACATAAGTATAGATCAACGGTTTTAGATAATATAAACGAGGCATAAATCTCATAAATTTAATTTTAATAGTAAGTGATGGTGTGAGAAACCCTCAAAAGTAAAATAAGAAACAAAAAGGAACGTTGAATATTAGAAGCCCACTTGATATTAATGGGCCGGGGATTTTGGGCCCAAATGGTGAACTACCATTGGACTTTTGCCGACGTGGCACTGGATTTAATGATCCATAGATTCTGAAACGCACATAGATCTGGAAATTTAGAATTCTACAAGATATTCATGGAATGCACATGGGCCCGTAGTTTTCCGATGATTTCGAGGCTGAAATCATACAAGAAACTGTTTTTATAATCCAAAGTATTAAATAAAAATATTTAAATAAATGGCTTGGTAGCTCCAACCAATAAAATTTTGTAAGCTTCGTTTAGACAGAATTTTCAAAATCGACATATTTATCTGCGAGTGAAACAAAATGTTTTCAAGTGTAGAGCATTAATATGATTTTTTAAAGAAAACTTTCAATTTCTTCTTTAATTAAAATATTTAATTTTAATAGAGTACTAATGGAAACAGACTATTAAATAAGGTATACATGACTTTTTAAAATTTCCTTAAACAGTGAGGAAAAATACTCAAGATAACGATTATTTCTAACTTTAATAAACAAAAACATTTTATTTTGCCAGATAAGCAGTGATTTGGAACAAATAAATAATAATATTTTCCTCGTAAAGGGAGCTGCAATGGATAAGAACGAAGACGTGTCACAGACCACTGATAAAGCGGATAATTATTAATAATACAATGACGTGGATATTATTTTATCTATTTTAATTTACTTAAATGCCATAGATACTAGATAGGACTTCAGAGATACATACACATATATATATCGGACATGAAAGCATCCGATAAAAGATCTCACAGTGGCAGACATGTAATAAACCCGAATACCCATGGCAAATACAGAGCTTCTTCCCTTTTTATAAACTTCTTCCGTCATCCGTTTTCTTATCCCTTGAATCAAAGAAGGCAAAAGCAGTGAGGTGAGAGAAGCCATGGAAGTGATTACTCAGAGATCCGCGTCGACATTGAATCCTGACGCTCCGATGTTCGTTCCTCAGGCGTATCGTACGGTGGAGGATTTTTCCGATCAGTGGTGGGATCTTGTCCAGTCCTGTTCCTGGTTCCGCGATTACTGGCTCCGTGAATGCTTTCTCGATCCGGAAAGCGATCTTCTCTTCCCCGATGTTTACGATTTTCCCATCCTCCCCGAGGAAGACGACGAGGATCTCTTCTACGAGCACCTCGATCGCGATCACAGAGGTACGTAGTAGGCTGTTGATGACCGCGTTGACTCGTTGAACCACCGAGTCAAAACTCGTCACTGACTCGCTGACTTTTTTTTTGCAGAGGAGGAGAAAAGAGTGGTGAAGATCGGTTGGTTAGGGCGGAGGAAAGGACGAGGTGCGGCGGAGCCGCCGAAGTACGCGGAGAAGGTGGCAAAGATGGTGAATGTGAGGGTGAGCCCGAGGACGATTCAGCAGCCTCGGTAACTCGGCCGAGTCAGTTGGAGCTCGATCTTGTTGCAGAGTAGTATTTTCTTTTTTTTGTGGATTTCTGTGTAGATTTGTAGCCATTTCAGGCCTTTAACTTCAGCTCTGCAGCTCGTTGGACTTTGTACAAACCAAATAAATATCAAGATCCGATCCTCTTTCCCGTTTGTATGTTTTCCGATGACGATTTGAAATCAAATTGGTATAGACAAGTATCTGTTTCATTTCCTGCATCTGAAATAAAAAGCGTTTTAGTTCCAAATCGTTGTTTTTGTTTTTCATTACGAGATTATGCGAGAGAATGATATTACGGAATAAGTTGAGTCGCGGCGTTTCGCGTTTGCGTCTGCATGAAACGACGGCGTTTGAGCGGAAGCCGGAATAGGTTTGAGGGTCGGCCGTCGCGCGCTGTGGGAGAGACGAGAGTTGATCGATTGGATTGGCGAAGGGAGAGAAGAAAGAACGGGGAAGCAGACGGTGGGGATGAAGGCGGTGGTGTATGCGCTGTCTCCGTTTCAGCAGAAGGTGATGACCGGCCTCTGGAAGGATCTGCCTGAGAAGATCCACCACAAGTTCTCCGAGAACTGGATCAGCGCTACTCTCCTCCTCACCCCTGTCCTCGGCACCTACTGGTACTCTCCCTCTCTCGGTTGATCCGTTCTTCTTCTTTAAATCTCCGATCTGATTGCTTCATTTGTTCCTTGATCTGGCTGTACGAGATTGTTGTTCCTGGAATATGCTCGCATTCTGATTTCGATCGATAATAATCTACGTTTTTTTTTGTTAGGGTTGTGATCTGATCGGTGATAGTTCTGCTTTGTGATGTTTTTCTGTGTTCCTAGTTCTTCTCTTGGGGCCATGGTCACCATCATCTCTATGTGCATTGAAGATGCCTGTGACGTTGAACTAACACTATCTTTTTCCATTTCGTTCAATGAATCTTCACTGAACCAAACTTTCCCATTGATGTGACTCAAGGTTTCATTGACAACGCTTCAAGGAATCGAGTCTTGTTGCCATTTCGTGGGTGTTGAAAAAAAAACGGAGATGCTTTTGCAGTTCGACTCCATGCCCGAACCATTAATGATTTGATTGCAGAACCAGCTGACAAATCAAAGTATGCATCTTTTATTGGTTTGAAGATGCATGGTACATACCCATGAAGATTCACAAGGCGAATGCGTTCAAGACCGTAGGATAAATACATATACATAGATGCATAATGCATACCCAAGAAGGATTAATTTAGGTTTGTATCTCATGAGACATGAAATTTACAGTTCTGCCTGTTGAAGTGTAGAGTGCCTAATTCACTACCTTTTTGCTCATGAGAAACCCTTCGAAATGATGCACATCCAAATCCAAATATGACGTGTTTAGATTAATCATGAATCCTCCTCCTCCTCCTCCTGCTCTGCAAAGCAAACAACTCACAAATTGCAGAAGAGTCTCTTCATTCAAGCCAAACCCCACACTCACAAGTTGCAGACCATTTTCATAAATCTCTTTCAAGAAAAACTTAAGAGAAGTGTGGAAGACCATCAAAATCTGCAACCTCATGAAATTCCAGAGCAATAGTCAACGCTGATCAGACAGTCAAAGGTCACTTCATCTTTACTTATCATTCTCTCTTCTGAGACAAGTAGCTGAATATTCAAAGAAAACCGCAACTTTTGTTTCTTTTCTTTGATTGACACAAGAGAGACAAAGAGGATGGAAAGCACATCAGTTGTTGTTGAACTAAGAAGCATATCATATGCCATTTTTACCAAAGCCCTTCACCATAAACACACCCACATGCTTCCCCTAAAAGAAGAAACCTCCACAGCGATCAAATCTATCAAAACTTTAAGCAATGGAACAACAACAAAAAAACTACCAAATTATCAAGCATATGATCCACTTACGTTTCTTAGTAACAATTTCGGTAATGAACATTCCAAAAGTCTCAATCTTTCACATCGTTGGAATCTGAATCACTTGCATTATAACCTGAACGAAATCCAGAAACACAGAAAATGTAAGTCTGGTATCATCAGATTGGTCTAGAGAAGATGGAAAGTTGAGTAGATAAATTACCTGGACGCTTGTCACTCACTTGCCAAGCCGATGATCGAGTTCTCGAGGCTCTGTTTATCCAGGCACGACCCTTTCATCACACAAACGACAAAATTGCCCTTCAGATCATAAACATTTCAAATCACAACCAAATTAAATTCGGACCCAACCTACAGAACAATGGAATTCGCAATGCTCATAAGAAGACGGCGAATCTAAACCCTAAAACTGACCTTTTGTTCATCTTTGGGAACTCCATAGCCGCTGCAATACATCTGTCCGACCAAAACCTGCATGCCCACGTCGCCGGCTTTCGCTTCCTTGAGCGTATCTTGGAACCACCGCTTCACGCAATCGTCGACCACTTGAGCCAGAGGAACCCGATCCGGACCCGGACCCGACCTCGAGTTCGATCCCTTCTTCTCCAGCTTGACCCGATTCAAGTCCTCGACCCGGGTTTCTCTCGATTTCCTGAGGAAAACTTTGTTTCGCGAGGTGGGTACGGATCTAGGTCTGGTGGGATTCTCCGATGAGAGTCTAATGGCGAATTCTTGGAATCTGACCGTGCATAGTATCGATTTTCCCATCAAACAAACGGGGGTCAGAAAGAGAAACCTTTCTTCGGATATGGATTTGCTTTTCTTTTTTTTCCTTTTTCGCTTTTAATTATTATTTTCACTTTGCTTTTTTCTCTTCCCTTTCGGCTTCCGGTGCGCGTTCTTTTTCATATTATTATTTTATTTGCATATAATAAAACATAAAAGCGATAAATGCTTCAAATAATTTTAGAATTATTAAAAATATCTAAACTTTTCAAAGGATGATATCTTAGGATTCTTCTTCTTAGATCAAATTTCGATCCTAAAAATCAGTACTATTATAGAAAATTATAACCTTTTTCCATCTAAGTATTTTTCTTACAAAAATCAGTGCATTAATAATCTACCTTATTAAACAAAACGATAAAGGAATACTTGGCATGTCGGAAATATATGTAACAAAAAAAATAAAACTATTACACATTCTTCACGTCAAAACGCCAGGTAATAAAAAATAACAAAATTTTTTAAAAAAATATACACATTTATTTATCCACGTATCGATACATTTCTGATTTCTCTTATGTACACACAAATATGAGAATCCAGAGGACTAGCACATAAAATAAACTGTAGGGTCGATTCTATTAATAAACTTAAGTTTAGGGGTTTATATAAAATATTTGAAATTAGTGTTATGGGCCTGTCACGGGGCCGTGGGAATGAAGCCCGTCTTAAATCCGATGACGAGAGGAATAGCACCACCGTTTTACAATTCGGCCCTTAAGAGCTACCGTCGTTCGAAATTTATATTTATTATATAAAAAAGCGATAAAGACTCATGAAATTAATTATCGAATTATATATATATATATATATATATATATATATCATCTATCCATTCACCTCTGTTGACGAATTAGATTATTTTTTACGTGTAGAATTCAAATTATATGTAATTATACACAGTTATACGATTATGTATTAACATAAAAGGTTGTCGCCGTCTGAAATTATAGTCGACGCAACTTAGTGGATACAAACATACACTCATACAGACAACATACATATATATATACACCTGTCTATATTGATCAGCTTATAATCACAAAGGCCTTTTAAACGTGGATTAGGGGATTCCGTCGTATAATTTCCTCTACACTTATCAAAATATGACTTGTCAGGAAAAAAAATGAGAATAGTTTAAGAAATAAATGAATTAATTTCCAAAGAAAACGAATTTAGAAATTATATTATAAAGGAACAAGAGATCAAGCAAATTTAAACCAATTTAAGTCATATATATATATATAATATATATGCCGAATTTTGATTGGATTAATTTCGTTTCGTGCCATGTGTGTCGTACAGACCTGTTTTAATATAATCACGTGGAGCTTGAAGATACAATAATAATATGTGGCCGTCGCATATATAATATATATGCGTATACACAAGTTTATAACTCGTCAAAATTATTCAATTCCTGGGAATATTTAACTTTTATTTTTTAGGAATTAATAAGCGATTTGAAATTCGAACATTTTACGCATTCCCAATCTGATGATAAAGATGGCGGCCCACCAAATTAAACATAACAATGGAACCCGTCTTCTCACATTAAGAGCACGTGGGGAAAATATACAAAAGTCGGCATTTAACCCCAAATAACAATCGAACGATTTATACTTTTGGCGAAAATGATGTAATAAAGTATACCCTTTAGATCATATTAAGTTGCCACGTGACTATTATTATAAGATATACAAAGAACATTATCGGATTATATATATATATATATATATATATATATATATATATATATATCAGAGTTACGGATACAAGCCAAGATTGATAACAGGGAATTACTTAAATCTACAAAATTGTAGCCTAATACCAACCAATTCAAGATGCATATGTGATGTATCAAGAGAAGAACACATGATTTGAACCCATAAGGAGGCGTTTGTTTCAAACATTACATCACCATAAACATAAAGACACATCATCGACTTGGGTTTCCCCGTTATATTCAACCCCAGTTTGCCAAATGAAAATACCCCAAAACTCGAAAGACGAACCACAGAGAAAACAGAGCCAGCCAAACGCGGCCTTAGGTGTGGTGCACGCGCCTCACAGCAATCTTTCGATCCATATATGACAGACCAATAATAAACCGACACGTAAGTAGCTATTTCATTTTTTTTTTACCTGAACGAGGCGGTGACTCGTTCAAATCGCGAGGACGAGACCAGGGACGGACTTCCCGGCACGACCCGAGAGTTGGCTCTCCCAGACGTAGGGACAATGCACCGGCGAGATCTCAGCCGCCGATGTCTTCTGCCCAACGGCGCCGCCGGAAGAGTTCCCGATCTTTGTGACGGTGAGAGAGGTGTTGAAGTACTCCCTGACCTGAGTAATTATCCCATGCGTGACGGTCCAGGCGTGGACCCAGGAGATGGAGCCGGAGGAGTCGCAGCCCTCGGCGATGACGGTGGACCCGAATGACACGACGGAGAGGGGTATGAACTCGAACTCGAACGGCGGGGACGACGGCGCGTCGCCGGTGAGGATGCGCATCAAAAACTGGTGGGACGGAGGGCCGTGGAACCACCACTCAATATCGGCGGCGAGAATCCGGTGCACAGTCACCACGTCTCGCGATCTCAGGGCCTCATATAGCGTAAGAACCACCTCTCGGTTCTTGTTCTCCGATTCCGCCAGAATCTTCGCTTCTCCAGGGTTAGCCAGTTCTTGACGAATTTACGAAAATACAAAAAACAAGATAAAAAAGATTCAAACGAAAACGAAATATGGATTTGAGAGAGAGAGAGATGAAGAAGAAGAATCTAGGTCTTGAATGGGAGATTCAAAGCTCGGCTTTTATATAGGGAAGGTGGTGAGCCGGGGAATGATTCCCTATCCATTTTCTACTTTTAGTTTCCGTGGGACGTGGGTTATTTAACACGTGGCGGATCCACAATGGTGAAACTGGAAAAGTGGGACCCATGGTGAGTCCTACGTGGCAAGATGTGGTCACTGAAAAGTCCAAGGGACCATTCTTGATGACTTGATCCATCTCCCCATCACCACCTAATTAATTACTTGGAAAATAGTTAAATGAATATGCATGATCGTCGATACATATGCATGTGGAAAATTTTATTACCGAAATATAAATAAATAAATATAATAAAAGTAAACATATTAATTTAATTAAAAATATATTCTTTCATTAATGCGGTTTTCCTGATTTTGAGAACTTTCTAAAATAAAATTCCGTAATCGCTAAACATTCCAAACTATTTCAGTGGTATAATCAACCAGATTTGGTTAGTCAGGAATTTGGGGTTTTAATTCGACATTAATTTTTAGATAATAATTTGATAACGATGGCCACCACACCACACTAATTGCTCATTTCTCTCTTAGATAATTAAATTGTAATTATTGCACACTAATGGACAAAGGATGAAAAATCGATTTCCACGAAAAAGACCCACATTGACGTGACATGTATTAATAGATTCATGAATTTATGAAAAGAAAATTAAAATCAACTTGAAGAATTTATAGCGATTATTTAATCTCAACAGATTAATTCAGTGGTAAATCACCTTAAAGATGTTTCTAAAATAATACTAGTGAAATTAGGCGGATTAATAATAAAGACAAGAATTTTTTTTTTAAATGCAATTAAATATGGAGGAGAAGCATGAGACAGAAAGAAGAACCTGAGATGCTTAAGAAGCTGCAATGACCAAACCCAGAGAGAGAGAGAGAGAGAGAGAGAGAGAGAGAGGGGCATGGGAACAAGAACAAGAAGACAGCAGACATGTTTAGCAGAAGAAGATTACTCAAGAACCAAACGATCTCTGCTTCTTCTTCTTCTTCTTCTTCTACATGTCTGCTTCAGCCCAACGACACTGACCCATTTTGTACCATAACATCATCACCCATTTTCTTCCCTCTTTCCAACAATGTAGATGATGATGATGATGATGATGATGTTCAGACAAGTTTGAACACTGGTATCCGAGAATGTACATATTAAAGAAGGGAGACATAAATGGTAACTCAACTCACACGAGAAACTGAATTCACAAAAACCAGAAAAGAAGCCATGTTGAGTGAAATAAGGCGTTTGAAATCCAAAAAGAAAAACTCAGAAACAAGATTGTATCAAGATCCAAGGTTTCCATTTCAACGAATCCATACCCGCCAGATGAAAAAGAGTGTTCATATGATTTTCCGGGTCTTACTAGCTTTCTCTGTGTATGCACAGGGGAGAAGGCGGAGTCAGAGCCCCGTCCTTTCCACCTTTCTCAAGAGAATCTCCCTTTATCGTCGAGATCTGAGCATTCGGGCTTTGAGATTCTCTCCAAAACCTGCTCGGGCTGGGAGAGCTAGCCGTGGTAATGTTCCTCGGGGGAATAGAGATGCTAGCCGTGGTAATGTTCCTAGGATCAAACACTCCGTCTTCACGAGGCAAAGGGGATACTGGAGGCAAATTACCGTTCTGTCCACGTCTTTGGCAAAATTTATCTTCCACTACCTCGTAGGAATTAGCCGTTCGAACTTCCTGGGCAAGAGAGCACCAGCAACAGCAGAACCAGAGTGTACAATCAGACAATGTGGATTTACCGAAACAGAAGTTGTAACTCGGTAACTTGAACCTTTTCCTCATCTGGGTTCTCCAAAATCCACCATAGAGCAAACCGAACAAACACAGAAGTATTCCAGTAAACCCTAGTGCCTCCCTCACCATCTCGTTGTCGATATTAACTGCAGCCAATATGAATATAAAGAAAGGGGCGCTACAGAAGAGGATAAACGTCGCGATGTGAACGTACATGTTGCCAAACCCGAGCCTCTCCATGTTCCAACCAAAGACACAACAGGTGCAGAAAAGAGAGAGATAAGCCAAGGAAATATCTTCCCATATGTCAAGAATTCCACCATTCCACCGAGGATTACTCACAGGAGCTCTCTCATCATCGGTAGAAGCAAACGAATATCTCCTCTCGAGAGATTTTAACCTGAGGTTAACCGAGACTTCTGTGCTCTGGACTTGGTTTTCCTCATCTACATGCGAATCATATTCCTTCCCGAGCGGACTAAGGATAGTGTACAAACCTGCAACTGCAGGAGCGGCTATGGCAGTGGAGATACAAACGGCTACTCCTATGGCAGGCCTCTGGGATCTTCTATAACCCAAGTTAAGACCACAGAGCGCGTACTGAGCAAAACAGTTCACATGAAGTAAAATGACAACAACCATCATATGCGCCCATTCGTTCGGTTTGTAAGTTCCGTTCTTGCAGTATATCTTCCTAAGTCTTGAAACATCATCGGGTTTCCACCTACACAGAAGTACGAGGTGGTAGAATCTCTTCGGGTGCTGGTACAAACACATCAGAGTGAACAATGCGTTGAGGATTTGGTTGTTAACTTCGAACCAAGTATCTCTCTGAGATTTCTTGGGCAAAGCCCGATTCAACATACCGGTCATGACCATGAACAGAATGGCACCAGACACAGCAACCACCAAGATCCATATGAAAAGGGCAATGTTAATTGGGTTCCTAAGCCATTGCTTGCACATCTTCATCAAGGAAACCCACTCGATTTTTCGGGAAAACACGCCACTGATTCTTTCCCTGAAGTTGTGGCTACTTGAGCAGGTCACTGAACGTGAAACCTCATCCCTCTGCTCTGCAATTCTCTTGAACTTAGCAGACGGTGAACCGAATTTCAGAAGCTTAATCCTACTAGAAACATCAGGCAACGAACCAGCAGACCATCTCCTAGGGTTTCCATCACTAATCAGAGTCCTTCGAGATGTCGAAACATCGAGAGGATATGAAACCCTAGCTTTTCCATCAACGGGTTCCTGAATCTCGGCTTTTTCGTTCCCATCACAAGACGAATGCATTCTTGCAGCAGGAAAAGCAGATCTTTTCTCAAGCAAAGCTACTCAAAGTCACATGCTTTAAAGCAAACACAGTGGGGGGCAAAGCATATAACCCATTAAGAAGGAGCATAGAAAGAGATTAAAGGGAAAGATTCTACTTGCCAACGAAGCTTCTTCAGCTTTTTTCCACAGAAAACGTCGAAAAGGCGATCAGACCCAATTGGGCGATTTCGAATTCAAAACTCGATGGAACAAACACATCCCGAAATCCGATCAGCTGCAACTACACAGAAGATTGTACGAAGGAAACCCAGAAAGAAATAGAGGGTTTCGTGGCTGAAATCAGCTGCGAATTTGACGGATAGCGCTACTAAAGATCGAAGCTTTTGACAACCTAATGATTCATGAATGGTGGAATAAAAGTAAAAGAAGGGACGAAGACGACTGTTGGCGAAGGAGGAAGAAACACGTAATCTGATTCGATTTTGAAGTGGTAAAAACAAGAGTTCTTCCTGACAACTTGGCCGCCATATTTGTCCAAATTAAATCCATTTCTTAATTCTCTATTTGTTAATAATATTTTTTTCTCCTTTTATTTGTTTATTCCGAAAATAAATTATCTGCCGACAAGCGTGAAAAATAATCTTAGGCCCATTACAGGCCCAATTAGCTAAACCCGTGCCTGAATAATTGGGCCGGACTAAACATTAATGTAACCGAAATTTTGTGTTGGGCGGTCCATATGTCAACATGTCCATTGTCCATTCCCATATCCGCAACCGAAACTTATAAAACTTACAAATTTATAAAATCTATTACAATAAATTTTAAATATTCATAAAAAAACATTGCATTGCATGCACACAATTTTTTGGAATAAGTATATCTATAATAATGGATATAGAAAATATTGGAGAAGATTATAATGATAATACCTAATATTTAGATTTTGTTTTGTTTTTTAATATTTATATATTGTAATTAGTCTTGGAAATAAGTGATGTGATATTCGAGTAAAGACACTAAAGGAGAATGTAGAAGCTTCATGTTTTCCCCCAACCACCCCACCAAAGTGTTGATAGCAATATACAATAACATATGGCCAAAATTTGTCAATTTATATTCAAAATAAATATTTTAAAAAATCATGCTATTCAATCAAAGACTTTGTAATGGTTGACTCGGAGGATGGATTTGGAAATGTGAAAGTCTTGAAGATGCTCTAAGTTGTATTTCGCTTTACGAATCTTAAGACTTCAGCAACCTTACATTTAAAAAAAAAATAGTTTGCTTTTACGTTATGACAAATAATTATATGATATGCATGTAGGGTCCAAATATGAGTATTTTCTACCGAAATATGGTAATTTTCTGATTATCAAATCACAATTTTCTTTATATATATATATATATATATATAGATGATACTATGATGGAATATTTTTTTTTTGGTAACCGGGTATATGGATCGAGATCCAGACTAATCCCAGAGCCGGAGAGAAACCATGTGAATACCTCCCCGTTTTACTGGTTGAACTATCGAGATTGAGTTATAATGGAATACTTTGTACTCCCACAATAATGGTTACACATTTCTTTCTAAATCACAATTTTTCTTGTGTTATCTTATTAAAAAAAATCAACCGATTAATCTAATCAAATCATGATTTGTATTATTTGTATCCATATATAATTATTTATCATTTTCATATGATCATCACCCATGCAATTAATTGGGTGACGTTGACTGAATCAATCTCCCTAATTATTGTCTTTTGGCAATGTCTCGTGATGAATAAATCAAAGAGAATCTTCAATCTACAGTGCAAAAGTGATTAGTTTTTCTTTGAAGCAATTAATTACTCTTTTTTAGACCCTTTATTTTTTTAAAAAAAAATATTTGACTATAGATACATTTTCTTAATTTATATAATATTGATAGAAATCAAATCCGATGGTGCTTAATTAATTAATTTAAGCCATTCTAAAATTGGGTCTCTTTCTCTTTAGGTTCCGTTATGCATTTCCCCCCACCTTGACTAAAAAGAGAAACCATATTATATAAATATCTTAGATGTAAAACGACCAAAGTAAATTAACATAATGTTATAATCGATGCACTTGAAGGTCATAGTAAGATGCGACGAGATGGAGTTTCTAACCAATTGATGTGTTGAATCCATCGTATTTTTATTGCAAAATGACATGATGTTTTTATACGTATTTGAATTATCGTGTGTATACGTTAGACCACCACATGTACTTCAAGAAATTCATTTTGCAATAAATAAAGACTCGTATATGGGTATAAAAAATGATAATACTAAAACCTTTAATATGGTGCTTGATTCAAATATTAATATACTTTTTTTTGTAAGATAATCTAATCTAGAAGCTTACTTTTTGGATTATCATATGAAGGATTCTATATCTTAAATTTGAAATTGATAATTATTTTCTCTTTTTTTTTTTTTCAAAAGAAGTGTGAAATCAAGATAGAAGAAGGGATCTAATAATCTAAGTTTTCGGTGAACTTCTTTTCTTTTTATGACTTTGGTTGATTCCTTATCCACTTGTATGATTATAGAAAGCCTACAAGTAGAAGGTGTCTCCCTTTGCTAAGTAAAAGTAAAACCCGCGTAATGTAAAAGTATATGACTCAATCCTTATTCCCTATATATATATATATATATATATATATATATATATGTGTGTGTGTGTGTCTATATAGAGAGAGAGTATACGACTCAATCCTTGTTATCTATATATGTGTGTGTGTGCCGTTAGTCCATAAACTTAAATTAGTCAAAAATCAAGTAGTGTCAAAACAATGAGATAAACACAATAAAACAAAGAAAATAGTGAAATTGTATGACAATGTTTTTGTTGTTATATATTATCAATAATCAAATCAATTTAAATTAACAAAATTATTAAGTTTATAAACAAGATATATAATCTTAATATTGTGAAGAATCCACAGTAAATAGTACAAAAACACCATATATAAATTTAAATTTTCCATGGCCATATATCCCTCTACCCACTCTCGCACTACAAAAAAATCATCGAATTCCAACGGATTTGTCTGTTAGAAATTTTCCAACGGATTTTCAACGATTTTCAACGGCGATTTCCATTAAAATTCCGTTGAAATTTCCAACGGATATCCGTTGGAAATGCCCGTTGGAAATTTTTAACGGAATTTTCAACGTATTCAATTGAAAAATTAGGTTGAAAATTTTCAACGGTATTTTCAACGGATATCCGTTGGAAAAATCGGTTGGAAATGTCCAACGGAATTCCGACGGATGTTGGTTAGAAAAAAATTCCAACGGAATTCCAACGTATATCGGTTGGAAATTTGGATTTTAATTGAAAAATAAATTGAAAAATCTAATATATACATATATATATAAATATATATATATATTTAAATACATGTATTTTATATTTATACATATCTTTTGTCGCATTTTCTGTTTCCATGGCGTTTTTTTATTAATTGAGTACGGATTTAGATTTTTGTCAGCTTGTTCTTCCGATATTAATTTTCACTAGGGCATGGATATTACGTGTCACCATATGATTGGCTATAGTCGCGGTAAAAAATTATAAGTTCCCGTCACGCGCCAATTTGTCCCGCGCCTTTTTATCTGATCAGCGCATTTTAGCATGGACTCGCTCTTTGCTAAAATGCGCTAAACATGCCACGTAGGCAATGCGATTCCAGTCTGGCGCACAAACATGGAAGTTTATGTAACCATAAAATCAGCAATCGTTTCCTTGATCCTTTCTTATTTCTTCGATTGAAGTGGTAAAGTATCGCAGAGCTTGAAAGGAGATGCTTTAATGGCTCCTCGTCCGAGAGCCCGGAAAAGGGTTCTAGCGCCTCGTCGTGCTGCCGATGGAAGCGCCTATGAAAAATGGTTTTTATGATTTTTTTATATTCCATCTTGTTGCCATTGATTGGATTTAGGGTTCATGCAATCTAGATTTCGGGTTTGTCGATTTGTGATGTTATCAGCTTACGTCATGTTGCAGCGATGAGTGTGGTGTTACGGTCGCCGTTGCTCTGTTTGATATGCACGAGTGTGGAGAGAAGAGAACGGAAGTGAAGAGATTCAAGGGCATTTCATCTGCGACGAACAAAACAGATGCTGTGAATCAAATCACTGGCCTCGATGACCAACCCAGATCGGCTTTTGTTTGCTTTGTGTACTGTTTCTTATATATATATATCTATTAATCATATACATACACATAACAAATATATATATATATATATTTATATATTTATATATGTATATATATTAATATTATATGATATCAGAAGTTTAATTTGGAGCAGTTGGATGATGGTCAATTGGAACTCCAGGGTTAATGAGGATTGAGTTGGAGTAGTGGAAGGATGAGTGACCTACTGGGAAGTGATCGGGTTCGCGGTCGGGGTCGGGGTCAGGGTCGAGTATTAACCTAATTCGCCACCTTAGCGCTTGTCTCAATTTCTTCTCCCAACTTAAAAAATAAAATTACAGCGGCGGCCCAAAAAACCGCATCGAGACATTTTTGTTATAAAATTATATATAATCTCAAAATTGTTTAACAAAATTGTCTTACATCTGATAAAGAATATTAATATATTTTGCGAGTAATATGATAAATATAAATTAAATTAATTTAGTTTTATCGAATATATAATTCATAATAATTTTATTATTATTTTTATTTAATTTAATTTAAAATTTAATATTATTTATACATGGCTAGGTGAGTAGATGTCAATAATAGAATAAGACGGACCAATCTACCGCAAAAATCAAAGGGTTGGTGTAAATTTCTAATCGTTAATTAATTACATGAGCCACAATTCTTGACGAATTTTGGACCTCTCCTAACAAACTACAATTTATGTTTTCTATTTTTATTTTTCATTTTTATGTTCGTTAGAAACTGGTGTTTGGCTTATCTAACATCCTATAACTGTATTAGGTGACATTTTTGGTACGTCTACGTGTATATTTGTGATATTCGAATATATATAGTTTGGATTATCCTTTGATTATATTGTTTTCAGATTCTTTTATTTCGATATTATAAATTTATTATTGACATTATATCAAAAATATTCTCTATTTGCTGTTTTGACTTCAACACATATCATTTTTTCAAATATGATCTATATGACTAGAAATATAATCAGGTCACATCTTGGTCATATTAATCATAACGTTACATTTATGGTGATCACACTGATTCATTATGTTTCATCCTTTGTCTATCTTACTAATCCTTTGATTAAAATATTATAAATTTAATATTATGACAAAAAAAATCAAATATGTAATCACATTATATTTCGAAATATATGAGTCACATGGTCACATTTAGGGAAGGTATGTGTTGAAATCAACATGTAACCCCTTTGGTTTCTATACTATTTTTTCGGCTCAAAATAATTAGTTTTAGTTTAGTTTTTATAAAATATCATTTTTAAAAACAAATTTATTAATTGATTGTTATTTGATTTGTATTTGGTTAAATTTCGTTTAATTTGATTTTTAAAAAATCATATCTAACTGGTTTTTACTTCTTAGATAGAATTCATTTTGAAACGATTATATTATTCGATTTTGTATATTCAAAATATGATTTACCTCGGTTATTTTATAATATTTACGAATGAGAAGGAAAAAATAAACCTTTTGATTTTGGCAAATACATGATACATCCACCAACAGACAGCCAAATACCAGAGTGAGTGACAATGACAAAAAAAAAAAAAAAAACCTTTTGGTCCTTTTTTGCCAAAGTAAAACGCGTTCCAAATATTTTTTTTTTATTGATTCTTTTTTCATGCAAAGTCAAATCGATAACTCTGACTCTGAGTCATGTTTTTCATGCAATGTCTCATACATTTATCATTATTGTTCATTAATAATATTCGGTACCAATAATATCTCACATATGTACATCATTATTTGATATTAAAATAGGAAGATATTGTTTTAATTTTATTAAAATATAAAGATAAAATTAACACTATTTTTTTTATTTTATACGAAATGATTTAAATAAACAAACTTAATTTCAATAGTACTATAGACACGTGATACAAAAAAAATAGATCGATCCATCCATATATATCTATATACGTAGTTCTAAAGCTCTAGAAAAAACTTATATTAATATATTATAAAATTTAAAATATTAAGTCTTTTAAGTTTAATTAACTAATATTTCAAAATTCTAATTTGGATAGATCAAGGGATAAAACGAGAGTTCAAAGTGTATGTTTCGTTCTGAGTTCAAATTATAAAGTTAGAAAAATGGTGTATATTCCAAATTGATCCCAAAATTAGATCGAATCTCGATTTAGGATATTTGGTTACTGAAAAAAATCTATGATTTCAAACTCGATATCTTTAAAATACACATACATGGCTTAGCGTTAAGAAATTTAGGTTATAATGTGGCAAGATACAAATCATATATATATATATATATATATATCAAATGGAATACTAAAAAGGCCCTAAACCTGTCATATTTCTTGGGTTTTTTTTTTTTTGAAATTTCAGTTCACCGTCTATTAACAGAATTGCCATGGAAGAGTAGCATTTTTCAAACTGTTTCCGACATGGAAGCTTTCATGCACAAGGTGTGATCTAATCAAAGCTTTGATTTATTCACTTTATTACGACGTGGAAAATTGCAAAAGCATTCCCATGCATAATCAATAAAATCTTATAAATCATAAAAAAAAAATTAAGAAAATTCAACGCGTTAGGTCACCTGTCTTTCACTTTATCTCCCTCTTCACGTCTCTATATAAACCCTAAGTCCCTTTGCACTTAGCATCCAAACCCACAAAACACGCATTCCTCATATAAAAAGAATATTACACTACTGTTCTATTGCGACAATGGCTTCTAAACACATTCTTATCGCCTTTGTTCTTGTCTTAACATCCTTAGTTCTTAACGGTAATAACTACACCGTTGAAGCACAACTCACGACCAATTTCTACTCGAGTTCATGTCCTAACCTCCTCTCCACCGTGCGATCGGCCATGCAGTCCGCCGTGAACCGCGAGGCACGGGCCGGTGCCTCCATCCTCCGCCTCTTCTTCCACGATTGCTTCGTCAATGTAAGTGTCCCAAGAAACATGTTCGGATTTTCCAACTTGGCATATGTATATGTATTCGATATTCATCGTACATATGTACGTATATAGGGATGCGATGGCTCGATTCTACTAGACGACACGTCGAACTTCACGGGAGAGAAAAACGCTAACCCTAACCGCAACTCTGCTCGAGGGTTCGATGTCATCGATAACATCAAGACCGCCGTGGAGAGAGCTTGTCCTGGAGTCGTTTCTTGTGCCGATATCCTCGCCGTTGCCGCTAGAGATGGAGTTGTACTGGTAAGTCCATTCTATACGTATATATGATCAAACTTGGAGATTTCGATTATAAACCCGAAAAAAGATGTGATTTTTGTTATGGGAATTTCAGCTTGGAGGGCCTAATTGGAATGTGAAACTTGGGAGAAGAGACGCAAGAACAGCGAGTCAATCAGGGGCCAACAGCAACATCCCGGCACCCACTTCGAGTCTGAGTCAACTCATTAGTAGTTTCGGCAATGTCGGACTCTCGACCAGAGACATGGTCGCCCTCTCTGGTCCGTTTCTTTTCCTTAATTCTTCTTCATATTCAAATCTATGATTCTTTCAACGGTTATTATAGTTGTGTTCATACTTCATTATACTAGTTCACTTCATAACCCGAAATCCATCGGATTTAGAATTTTGAAAGTACAAGACGGTCCACTTCTAGAACCGTCAAATCCATAACACCGACATAAAAGCCATAGATTTAGCCAATAAATATTAAATTGATTTATAACCAAATTGGTTAAATTATTTTCAGGAGGGCACACGATCGGACAAGCTCGTTGCACGTCATTCAGAACGAGAATCTACAACGAGACGAACATCAACAGTGCCTTCGCAACGACACGTCAGCAGACCTGTCCAAGAACCGCTGGCTCCGGCGACGGAAACCTAGCTCCGTTAGATATTCAGACGCCGGCGAATTTCAACAACGACTACTTCAAGAACCTCATGGCTCAGAGGGGTCTTCTTCATTCCGACCAAGAGCTCTTCAATGGCGGCTCCACTGATTCGATCGTCCGTACTTACAGCAGCAATCCGGCGACATTTAATTCCGATTTCGTGGCGGCGATGATCAAGATGGGTGATATTAGTCCGTTGACCGGTAATAGCGGTGAGATCAGGAGGAATTGCAGGAGGCTTAACTAAGTAGATCTCTACGTCCACGTGTCGGTTTGTTATTGGGTGTTTTGTGTTTCGGGGGAGAATAAGATTTGGTGTTCGCCGGAGATCTTGGAACATGCATGATCTAAAGATTTGTCGCTGTCGGAATCTGGTTACTTAAAAGTGTCTGTTTTTTTTGTATCTTTGGGTTGAAGTGTGTATTTCCTGATTTGAAGTTAAATGAGATCTAAATTATTTACCTTATAGAAGAAACAAAAATATATATATATCGGAAAATACGAGGAATGAATGAGTTCTCTCTGTTCCGAATTTAGATGACGGAAAATAAATTGATTTTCTTTTTCTTTTTCTTTTGTCGCATTTTCTGTTTCCATGGCGTTTTTTTATTAATTGAGTACGGATTTAGATTTTTGTCAGCTTGTTCTTCCGATATTAATTTTCACTAGGGCATGGATATTACGTGTCACCATATGATTGGCTATAGTCGCGGTAAAAAATTATAAGTTCCCGTCACGCGCCAATTTGTCCCGCGCCTTTTTATCTGATCAGCGCATTTTAGCATGGACTCGCTCTTTGCTAAAATGCGCTAAACATGCCACGTAGGCAATGCGATTCCAGTCTGGCGCACAAACATGGAAGTTTATGTAACCATAAAATCAGCAATCGTTTCCTTGATCCTTTCTTATTTCTTCGATTGAAGTGGTAAAGTATCGCAGAGCTTGAAAGGAGATGCTTTAATGGCTCCTCGTCCGAGAGCCCGGAAAAGGGTTCTAGCGCCTCGTCGTGCTGCCGATGGAAGCGCCTATGAAAAATGGTTTTTATGATTTTTTTATATTCCATCTTGTTGCCATTGATTGGATTTAGGGTTCATGCAATCTAGATTTCGGGTTTGTCGATTTGTGATGTTATCAGCTTACGTCATGTTGCAGCGATGAGTGTGGTGTTACGGTCGCCGTTGCTCTGTTTGATATGCACGAGTGTGGAGAGAAGAGAACGGAAGTGAAGAGATTCAAGGGCATTTCATCTGCGACGAACAAAACAGATGCTGTGAATCAAATCACTGGCCTCGATGACCAACCCAGATCGGCTTTTGTTTGCTTTGTGTACTGTTTCTTACAAAAATCTTCCATTTTCAGTATGTTTTTTGTTTTGGGTTTTCTCAAGTATAAGGCGATGATGGTTCAGTGTGATGTCTTGGGTTTGTGGGATATTTGATTGGTTGCTGAGAAAGTGTGGGAAAATGAAGATGGAAAGTGGATTGGAGGGTCTTATGTGGCAAAACTTGTGATGTTAGTGGTGATTTTCAGATGACTATGAGGTTAGTGGTGATTTTCCATTGTCTCTTCTCCGCTCTGTAGGGAAGGTTTTAGGAAATATTTTGGAGGAAGCTTGGTTGATGCTAACCGAAAGTGTTTCGAGATATGGAAGACAATGCCGGCAGAGGTATCATTAAGATTACAGCTTGAATCCTCAACTTGTATTAGAGATATTAACTAATGTGATGAGTTAGGCATATTTTTACCTTATCCACTAGATTCTTGTCTAGTTTTTCCTGATATTTTTGTTGTTTTTTTTCGTATGTTTTGGTCCTTTGGATCCCATTTTTCGCAATCAAAGTTTCAAGAAGCGTCACTGACATAGGCTGATTTAACATTTCCGCTCTTGTGCCTTTTCAGAGGAAAGAACCGTTTTTTATTGAAGCTGCGGAGGTGAACTCTGCTTACCTCAGGAGATTAGACGATGAATCCAAAAGTAGTTATAAGGTAATCTAAGAACCATAAGCTAAGGCTTTAAAAACCTTGGCTTTATCGGTTTTATGAACGTGATTCGCCCGATTACTCTGTTGTTTGCTCTGACCGTATTCTTTTACGAGCTAAAGCATCTGCAGCTTTGTTTGACGAACAAGGAATATCGTGATCTGGTTGTGTTTATAGTTGCCGATTTAAACTATAAGTCCTTATTACATTGGCTTAAATGTAGTTTTTGATACATCTAGCTTTGTTTTTTTCTTAAAAAATTCTGTATCTCGCCCACATATATGACTTATTGGTTAAGCGTAATCGCCCTGTTTCGGGGTGGTATTCATTATAACTGCATTCTTCCGATTTCCCTTTTATACAATGCAAAGTTTAAGGTTGTCTACTCTGCTGAAAAATAAGGTGGACCATATGCAGGTAGACGACGAGGCTGATTCAAGCATGGTTGGAAAATTCGACAAGGTCTGTGAATTTTTTTTTTACATTACCAACAAAACATTACCGCTCTGTTTCATGGCTGCCACGGATTTTCCCCCCCTGAATATTTCCGCAGTTCTATGAGAACTACAACTATGAATATGAAGATGAATACAGCGAGGAGGAATATGATTCATCTGATAACTTTGGATACACAAGATGGTACATTGCTCTGTTAGAGATATATACATATTCATAGATACACATGAACAATATAGTCTCTTAATAGGATTAGGATTTGATAACCTTGTTTAGTCTCCCGATTCGAGTTAATCTTCCATGTGAATATATACGTTATTTCATTGAATGGAAAACTAACGCGTGATTCCGCAAATTTTGTCACAGGTTCTATGAATCAAATACACTTAATATCTCTTGAAACTATGTTCTTGGCTCTTCTTTTGCTAATGTTCAGGATTTTCCTCTGCTGAAACAGGGATTTTGATGCATCAGATGGGTATTGAAGAAAAATGGGATATAGGAGAGGGGCATTGGGTCCCCCCCTCCCTTTCTCTCTCAGTTCTTAAGAAAGGCAAGTCAATATGTTTTGGCTAACATATACATATATACATATATATATATATGTATGTATATATGTATGTATTTGCAAAGGGCAAGTGAGTTTTTGTTAGGCAGAAGCACAGGGAAGTGGCCCATCAACTTGTTTCTACAATTTCTCTTTTTGGGTAGCATGGCTTATGTGGCCAAGGTTTAAGCGATGCTCTGTTTCTTCTTTTGATTTAAAACCCATGATTTTTTTTCTTCTGTGCCCTCTTATTTGGTTTGGATGATTCACTAAATTCCCTTGTCAACCTTATTCTAACATAGCCACAATTTGGAGGCGCGTGCTATGTGTCTTTCGTTGGTTTTCTTGGCTTTGTTTGGCATCCAAGAAAATGAAGGAAAGGAACAAGAAATGGACCCAAAACCATTCTTGAATCCTTGGGCAAAGGGCATCATGGTGGTGGTGGGCTTCCGAAGAGAATCAGATTCCGAAAAGCAAAAAATAAAATAAAATACAAGGAAGGTAGGTACTATTTGATCGAGTGGAGAACATAACCATTGTACATGTTTATGTTTTCTTATTATAATCTCGTATGTCCATATATATATGCACATACATGATAAACCTTTTCTCTACGTTTTTAATTATAATTTTGCATGTATTTTAATCCGATGACATTTTTAATCTCGTCAATCAGTCCATAATTTTTTAAAAAGATCCGAATTTTGCATGAAATTATTGAAAAGTTTTGGAATCTTTTAGATTTTAACACGTTTTAATAATAGAAAAAATTATGTTTGTTTTATGGTCTATGTATTAACACGTAGTAGCCCTTTTTGCCTTTGCGAATATATTTGGATTTTTTTCCCTTTATATCCGCAAATCTCAAATAGATGAGAAGCACGATGAGTTGTAATTAAAATTTTTAAAAATAAAAATTACATATAAATTCACGTTAAAAGCACGGATTATCCACCACGTTTTGATGGAGGAAAAAAAGATTAATATCGATCATATATTTTGATTTGGGAATATAAAATCGAGTATGATTTAGAAAATGATCGAATATATTTTCTTTTATATATATATATATATATATATATATATATATATATATATATATCTAAAATATAAAAAAAAAAAAAAAA